GTATAAAATCGTGCTAAACCATAATTCTTACGAGTCATGTAGCGCAAAGATTAATTACACAAAATAGGAAAAATAGTTTTATAGAGTAATCCGATATTCTATTTAGTCTTTTACGGGTTTATTAGCATATCTACATAAAATCAAGCATTCGATCTATATTAAAAGAAATATAAATCTTCAATTGTATCGCATAAGAAGACTTTTCTTGAATAATTGTTTCTTGTCATCATTAAACCGATAAAAATAAATGTAACCTGTCTGCTCGTATTTAATCTGCTATATTTTTTTCTTCTTTTTTTTTATCCTCCTCATCTGAAGTGGAGACTCGAAGAAGAACACACAGAAGCTCTTGCTACGGTCTCCACAATTCTGACACTGGTCTTCCTTGTGGAAGTAATCATGAAAAACATTGCTTTTACACCGCGTGGTTATTGGCAGTCCAGGAGAAATAGGTACGACTTGCTCGTGACAGTTGTAGGTGTTATCTGGATCATCATACACTGCACAATGCAGGTACGCTCGTCGTCAAGAATTTTTTGATCATATTTTTGATCATATTTTTTCTTCATCTATCACTCGTCATTCGTTCCCATGATATTATCATGTTTTATTGTATTGATCTCAGAACGATCTGTCTTACGTGATTGGATTTATGGTCGTAATCTTGAGGTTCTTCACCATCACCGGCAAACACACCACTCTCAAGATGCTAATGTTGACGGTCGGTGTGTCAGTTTGCAAGAGTTTCTTCATCATATTCGGCATGTTTCTTCTTGTCTTCTTTTACGCGTTAGCCGGCACTATAATCTTTGGTACGGTGAAATACGGAGAAGGCATAGGAAGGTAAGAAAAGTACCACTATCTACGAGATTTTAAGATATAAATATTATAGAATACACATGCAATGTTTAATATCAATCTTCCAATATAATTTCTATACCTATAGTACTAAATTCTATATAGTACTAAATTCTCTTTTCCACATTATAATATTTCTTCATCTTGCTCTGCTTCTGCTTGATATATCAAAAATAATCTCTTTGCAATTTAGACGCGCTAATTTCGAATCACCGGTTACCGGCGTGGCGATGCTCTTTCGCATAGTGACGGGAGAGGATTGGAACAAAATTATGCACGACTGCATGATACAACCACCCTATTGCACGCCGGCGGATAATTACTGGGAAACGGATTGCGGCAATTTCCACGCTTCTCTAATTTATTTTTGCACCTTTTACGTCATCATTACTTACATCGTCTTAAATCTTTTAGTGGGTATGTATGCAATATACTTGTACATACATCAAAGAAACTTACACAAAATCACGTAGATTAGATTTTAAAAAGTCACAGCTATATTTCTTTTCTTGCCTTAGGTCAGACAAGAAAAGAGACTATTTAACAGAAAATATTCTATAGTGGCTTTAATCTAATTTTTCTGTTTAATATTTTTTTAAATTAAATATCTGAATATATACATATATATATAGTAATTTAAAGGGAATAAAACAAAGATTGAAATTTTTTTTCGAACAGCTATTATCATGGAGAACTTTTCTTTATTCTATTCAAATGAAGAGGACGCGTTATTATCATACGCAGATATAAGGAACTTTCAGAATACTTGGAATGTTGTTGATAATCATCAAAAAGGCGTTATACCGGTGAAACGGGTACGATCTTATCGCGAATCCTTATTATATTAACGAAATGATATAACAATTTAAGAAATAAATGCTAATATTTACGGATTTTAGGTGAAGTTTATCTTGCGATTGTTGAAGGGCAGATTGGAGACCGATCCACAGAAGGATCGTCTGCTCTTCAAATACATGTGCTACGAACTGGAACGATTGCATAATGGCGAAGATGTTACCTTTCATGATGTTATTAAGTAAGTTCCATGTTATTAAGTGAATTCCACATAGATTGTAAATGGAATATGAAATGTTCATAGTTTGTCAAGTAAAATTTTTAAATGCCTGAGTTTTTCTCAGATTTTCTACAAGACGTAGTTTTTTTTTTATCATCCAATGTTTTACATTATTCGAATATTGTCAATATCTTTTTAATTAAAATTATTTAGTATGTTATCATATCGCTCGGTGGATATAAGGAAAGCACTTCAGTTAGAAGAACTTCTCGCACGGGAAGAATTCGAGTATATAATCGAGGAGGAAGTGGCTAAGCAAACCATCAGAACTTGGTTACAGGGCTGCCTGAAAAAGATACGAGCGGTGAGGATGACTTAATCTGAAATTGCATCAGGGAAATAATAATCTTTGTTTTTTGCAGAAACAAAACAGTCTTATCGCTGGTCTTCGCGCTACAAATAACGCGGCTATGCCACTTCAAGATGTAGAGAAGGGCAAAGAGGAGAAAGGCAAGGAAGTTAGCATTGATCGTGAAGAGGAAATTGAAATAAAAGTGCGTTTTTATTTGTTTTACTATATCCCGAGTATTTCTCGTAGAAGAATGAATCGATATTTTTATATTACAAATTAATTAATCTAGTAAAAGTGGGAAGGGAATACATATACATATATTACTTTGAATAATATATTGCGAAGAATATTACTACGTCGACCCGCCATCAGAGGTTTATTAGATATTCGCTAAGATTCTCGCAAGTGCTTTGATACGCGTATATCTGTATATATAGAATCTCGATTTAATAACTAAAACAGGCGTCTAAGGTAGGCTTCCATTACAATACCTTACTGATGAGTCCAGTATTGGAAGCCGGGACGAAACGCCAACATTACGTGATATTCTTCGCAATATATTAGAATAAATAGAATTAAAGATTTTAATGAATCTATGGCTCGTAGCCCTGTTCTCTCATTAGTTTTTAATCTAGTAAACTTTTTTGCTTAAAAAATTTGTTAATATATTAGCTTCTATACTTCTAAAATATTAGAATTTAAAAAAAATTATAATTTTAAAAAAGTAATAAACATCATATATAATAATTTGACAAAAAAAGTTCATGTTATCTTGTTTTCAACTATTAGGATGTTGAAGCTCCAAAATATAGGGCCAAGAAACCGATAGTACTTCCAAGATCAGACAGCATAGGAAGTGCTTCGGGAAGGAAGTACCTAGCACCAACTTTATCTGATCCAGCATCTGTTCGATCCGAGAAAGATAAGATCGCAGCGTCGAAAAAGAGGAATAGTAGACCACCAGGTAAGCCGAAGTGATCAATTAATTTTCGTACAATATCGTATTAGTCATTTTTGGCACAGGGTTATTTTAGATTATTTTTTATAGCAATGGTGAAAAATAATTTGCATCATTTGACGGAAAATACGGAGCAAAGCAGGCAGGCGAGGGAGGCGTTGAACAACAAAGCAACCGCACCTAAAGTTTCTAGCGTTATGTTGGAAGTTCGAGAATGGTGGAAAGAACAATTGGCTTATAGCAGCGAGTCCAGTGAGGACGAACTCTGAACTTTTTGAAACTATGGAAGTAAACAATTATGATCGTAGTAGTGAACTGAGGATTCCTACTTTTAGCGATCGTAAAAGACGAATTCTTAGCCTCAGAATTTTGCAATTCAGCGAGGATGAAGATTCAAGGAGAAATGTGGTATGTGCCTAATAATTTTAATCATTCGCCCAAGTTCGGGGAATTTTAACGCGTTGATCTTCGACCGCAATTTGCCACCTTCACTGCTGAAAGCCATATTAATATTTTGCTACGTCCAAAGCAGTGTGCACAGAGTAATCTAAAACGTTTAAAATTTTCGTTCCATCGAAGTTCATCGTGTTAGAAGAATCGATTTCCTACTGGAAGAAAGAGAAAGAATTATAATTATCGAAACATACATATACTCGTGACATTTCGTATCGAATTCGGAACATCACTGCCATGTGTCAAATCACTCATATGAAAATGTTTGAATCCTCGAAATATTAGTTTGAAGTGTTTTGAAGAACTTTTCCATATATCATTCACGTACTATCATTCATCAGTTAGTTTTAAAGTGTTTCGAGGTAACTATAATTGTATGTAGTAAATTTTGTACGACACGAAACTGATCATTGTTAGTAGCTAGAGTCGATTATGGTGTTATTAAGGGCAACTGTGAGTACAATTAGCATAGGATTCGTCGTAGATATTTTTGTCGTGATGAGGGTACTGATATTCTGTGTCTAAAAAAAAAAGAAAAAGTTAGGACATTGCAGATCGTCGATTCTTTCCTCCTTACAACAAGAATATGTCCCGAAGGCCTGTATAGTAGATCTACACGATTGATTTGATATTGACAGTTATAAAAGTTTTAGCGTGACCGTTGATGTTATTATCTCTGTTAATTAATTGATATAGTAACGCTGTTACGGGTGTCGCTTTACTGAATAGGAAAAGGTTGTGCAGTCACACACATGAGAATTATTTAGCGGAGGGCTTTCGAAACGCGATTGCGTCTGCTCTCTATATTATGTATGTTGAACATACGAGAGATAAATCGCATTTATATTAAATATACGATTGTCGTAAGTTTTTGTAATGAGACGATATGTGAATAGGTCGCAAGTAAATTTGTGAAACGAACTTTTAGTGAAACGCGATCGATGTTAGCGCAATAATACGCATACGCACACACGCATGATGAATGTTATGCATATACATAATATATTTACAGAAGCGGAAAACGGATTTAACGTTTTGAGCCGCATTAAGTTTATTGTAATGAATGTTGATGATTGTTGCTAGTTTATGTGCCAATGTGTTGTCTTATCAAGTATAGGGCAAATAAATGTTATTAGATATCATTATTCGTAAATGTGTACATATTATTACTCCGATTTCTCTAGCATAGTTATAGTATAAAAAGTATATGTCCAGAAGACTCGCATAAATTATAAAAGTATAACTAATTATTCACTGTACTTATAATGAATGATTTCTTGTTTTCTGTATCTAATCAATTATAGCGAGTGATTAGGAGTTTCATTTTATCTAATAAATTAATGATCTAAAAATATCACTTCGGTTACTGTTTAAAACGTAATAACGAAACATTATAAAAACGTGTTATATCAAGAAGATAAGGTCATCTACTGCCATAATCTGATTTGCATCCGTCATGGTGTTAATAGCGGCGTTAATTTCGTCGGATGTGAAGTTCAAAGAAAGTGTTGTATTTAGATGATCGATGACTTCTGTCTTCGGAATATTCTGAACCCTGCGTTCTTGGAACAATTTGTTAAGTGACGACTTGAAGATCGTAAGTCTAAAATTAGAAAAAAATTAAAAATATACTTAATTTTTCGTTATTTTTTTATTTACAGGCACGTAACAGAATAAAAATATAAAAGTAACAAGTTGAAATGTTTAAGGCGTAAAGAAAAAGTCACGCGAGGGAAAGCTACATACTTAATTATTTAATTAACGATTATATTAATTTCGTCATTACATAATAATTATATAAATTAAGTTTCACGCGCGGTAACTATTTAATTAATGACTCAACTAATTCATAAAGCGTAATTAATTTAACAGATAATTACCTTTCCTGTGTGATTGTCGCAGTCGCTGTTTGAGAAACAGTAGTTGTTTTGGGATCGGAGGATTCTGGACCTTCAGTCTCCGTGCGGCTACTGTGCGACTCTGTGTGCGAGGTGGTTTTTTGTGATCTGGTTATTCTTCTTGTTGCTTGTTCGATGTATTCATCGTCACTATCGTATTCGTATGGATCGACTTCACCCTCTCTCCCTTTTACCTTTTTAGAGCGTTTCGCCTGTCTGCTTTCCTCTATTTCGTCTGCAGTCTCTGATGCATCGCTATCATGTCGTCGCCGCTTTCTCCTTTCTTTCTCTAGCACGCGTTTGAAGTAAGCAAACTGTACGAGTTCTATCGCGGCGCGTGCATCCTCGCTCTCCACGTTTTTCGAGAGCCGTGCTTTCGCGTGCGCCGTAGACAACCGAATTAACGTTTCTAGAGTTCTCGCGGTTACCGGTTGAGTCTAAATTATTCGAAGAAAATGTCAGGCATGCACTTGTATATGTTTTATTCAAATCTAGGATTTTCCTTTTACTTACCCTCGCAACATCGGATTCCACCATATCTTCCGATCGAAGTTTTGAATATTCCTCTGCGATAACGGCGCTGGCCTCTTCCGTGAGCTTGGGTTTCATGCACCGTGCAATGTGTATGTATTTTCTCATGAACTGTATGGTGAGGATCTGGTCGCTAAGAAATTCAAAACACAATTTTGTTGTATGAAATCTAATTAGAGCTTCATATTATTGTAAGATCAGTCGAATCAAAGCTCTCGTAGATTTAATGAAACAAAATAGTTTGATAAAAGTGGATTACTTTTTAGATCGCGTTTGCCCGTGTAGAAGTGGATCGTATTTCTGGTAAACTTGAGACTGCGTTTCTTCGGTAGCTACATCGTCCGGATTTTTCGTAGTCAACATGTCTAACTTTGAGCCTAAGCTCAGAGCCTCCCCGTCTTGTTCCAGAGGACTTCTATATCGATGCATTCGGACGACATGATCGCTGATTATATGATCCTGATCCGAGTCAATTACGTCCAGCACAACGAAGAGTAAATCGAAACGCGATAATAGAGAATCTTGCAGGCCGATATTCTCCATGGGAGTTTTATACTGATCGTACTAAAAATGTGAGGAGCTTTCATTAAATAATATTCATGTATTTCTTAAAATCAATTTAAAATCTAATATATATTAATATATTAATTCATTTATTATATATTAAATTTTAACGAGTAATTACATTTTTTAATAAAGAAGTATTTTTCCTAAAAAGCAAATTCAATTCAAACTTATTTTTCATAAATTACACAAAAATTTATAAGTTTAAATTTTGTCATTAAATCGAATCAATCTACAAATAGCTTCTTCAAAACAATCCGGACTTACTCTTCCGTATACAGGATTCGCGGCTGCCAATACTGAACAGCGCGCATTCAAACTGGCGTGAATTCCCGCTTTGGCGATAGTGATTCTTCCCTGTTCCATCACCTCGTGTATCGCCGTTCTATCAATGTCCGACATCTTATCAAATTCGTCGATGCAAATGACACCGCGATCCGCCAAGACCATCGCGCCCGCTTCCAGTCTGCGTTCTCCAGTCTCTTGATCAACTGTAACCGCCGCCGTTAAACCAACGCCGGAAGAGCCTCTTCCAGTGGTTGGAATTGCTCGTGGAGCAGTACATAACACATAACGTAGTAATTGCGACTTGGCCACTGATGGATCTCCAATTAGTAACACATTTATGTCTCTGTAATATATCAAAAAAATCCGATTATGTTATTATATAATCATTATGAGTGAATCACTGTGCATGCACAGAGCTATTGAGTATTTTGAAGTTTGTTTTTCGATATGAAAACCATAAGAATTGCCAAAGAAAGCTTACCCTCGCAACCTTGTACCGTTTGGCAAAATCTTCTCCACTCCACCTAAAAGGAGGCATAGAATCGCTTTTTTTATATATTCATTGCCATGTATGGATGGCGCAAGAGACTTAGCGAGAAGTTCGAAGATATTCTTGTAGGGATTGTTCCTAACCAGTTTCTTGCACATAGCTACGTCGCCATGGCTAATTGCAAGATTGGCTTCCTTACTCAGTTGCATTATATTATTAGCGATTAGGACCGTCCTACACAATAGTAATTATTACGATGAGTTTTGAGATAAAAATATAAGGATTATGCGACTTAATTGAACTAGGAAACAATTCTCGATTCTCGTCTGAAACATACCTGAAAGTTCCGGTTGTGTATCCACCCTGCTTTCCCGGCAGACATCGATAGTTTCCAACAATCTGTACTCGATCTCCAGGCTTGCACAAGTCCACCAAATCGTTATCACAAATTACATCCACGCTTCGTGGTAATTGACCGGCTGGAGCTTTTTCCGGCATCTCCTGTATAGTGAGCGTTTGATGATCCTTGTAAGTCGACAAACCAAATTCTGTTTCAAGCGGATTGCCGGCTTCATCCTGTTAAACAGAAAAACAAATCTTCAAACAATAAATATTTTTTTATATTTCATTTAAATAACAGGAATAATTACAGTCGTTGGATAGACAGCAGAGTGGGGAAATGCCTCCAAGGAAGTTAGATCCGAATAGGCTCTTTCCAGGACCGTTTTAGTCACGTCACAGTAATGGACGCTCCTCACAACTTTCGGTCGTACCAATGAACCTATAATATTTTATTAATACAGTGAGATATATATATATATATATAATACTTATAAATATAAATTATATAAAATTTGACAAATTTAACACATGAATAAATTAAATAAATCTATTAAAGGAGAATTATAAATAGAATGTGATATTATAAATTCCTATGAATAAGTCTGAGCAGAAATTAAATTCGTTCTTTCAGATATCTTATTTTATAAATGATGTTCTTATAAATATAAATTTTTCATAAAATATGATAAATTTAACACATGAATAAAAATTAATCTATTAAAAGAGGATTATAAATAGAGAATCTCTTTGATAAATTCTATAAATAAGTCTAAGCAGAAATTAAATTTGTTCTTTCACATACCTTTAGTTTATAAATGTAATATTAATCTTATAAATATAAATTTTTCATAAAGCGTGACAAATTTAACACACAAATAAATTAAATAAATAGATCTAATAGGAGAATTACAAATAGAACCTGATAAATTCTATAAATAGGTATGAACATAAATTAAAAATTTACTCTTTTAGATCTTTATTTAAAAAATGTGATGTTATTCTCATAAACATATTAAAGTAAAGTTATATAAACAAATTGAGATAAATCCTGTAAATCTAAGCAAAAATTAAATTTTTCTCTTTTTGATACTTGCATTTTGTGACAATACCCTCCACACATACCAAGTTACCCAGGAAACGAGAGGTAAGAGTTCTTGGTGTGACATGCTTATTTCCAAAGCTGCCCTCAAAAGCTACAAAGAAGTCTTTGTTGCTTTTAGCATAATCAATGTCTACACTTGAGATATATTGTTTCAGAGCATTCTGAAATGCTAGTTGTTCCTCAAAGGAATTATTTAATAGACTGCAACACAATCGATTCTTATGATTATCCTTAATATTATATAAATTTAATAGAAAATTTAATAAAAATATAAATTTAATAAAAAATTATATAAATTTTACTGTTTATAAATAATTTGTTTGTACTATACATTGGCAAGAACTAAAGAAATAGAAGATATATAAAATCTTTTATATACCTTGCTGTACGGGCAGGATTTTTTCTTCTTAAATCATTGATGTTTACGACCAGTCTGCTTTTATCTTCCTGAATCATATTTTTAACCATAGTGGCATATATGCTTTGATCCTCCTACAAAGATAATAAGCATAAGGATTTCATAAAAGTATCAAGCAAGAACAAAATATCATCTTAGTGTAATAATAATGTGACATTTAATCTTCTAATATATGCCATATGATTTGGAAATAAAAATAAAGTTATATCAATCCAAGTATTTATATTTCTTATAAGAATTGAATAATAATTTTTCATTTATCACATTGTGTATTTTTTCTATAAACAAAAAATTTATTACGAAAGATTAAAATACAACTGACAATTATGGTCAAGTAAACGTTATAAAATAAACAAACTTTGACGATACTCTTACCACATCGTCTAGAAAGTCAACATATTCGCGTGTTATTTGCTCAAGATTGTGATCGAATTCTGTATCCATTTTTGTTACTGGCAATTGACACTTATAATGCTGTAAATTCTTATACAATAAATATTTGCGAATCCCGAAATCCTTTGAGATAAAGCAACTCCGTCTGCCATTTACGCGGGAAAACACATGCGAGCCAAGCCGTTGCACCGAAAAAACCCCACGTCCCACGTGCTAATTTCTAGGGAATTTCCTCTCAAGTTTTTCGAACTGTAACATTTAAAAAATGGCGACGATATGTTTTGACGATATGCTTGAAAAGGTTATATTTTGCATTGCGGGTGTTGTGTGTGTATTTAATCTGCTAAAAAATTTTAGCTTTGTTTTGAATACGTTCGTGGAAACGTCAAAGAAATACACGATGGCACAAAGCAGACTAGAGAAAATTGGCACTATATATACTAGGTGAGTCCACATTCAAAATTACTTTAGAAATTAAACTATCGATTGTTAAGAAACTGTAGAGAAATGAACGTTTTATTAATTAGTTTTGTATTTTATATTTCAAATGCTAAGATTGACAATGAATCTTATTATTTGAATTACAAAATATAAAAATTTTGGATACTTCCAATTTTAAACACAAAATATGTAATATTTTGGATACTTTCGATTTTAAACACAAAATATGTAATACTTTTATGCTCCACTGAAATACAAAATACACTTGTACAAATAACGTGTTTTAAATTAAAATAAAATTTTGAATATATATTTCCCTTCCCAGCTATGAAATAGGAAATAGGGATAGGAAATAACATACATTAATGTTTTAATCCACCAAAAATGGCATTGATATACAGTTTCTAGTAGCTTGAAATCTATTGCCAGTGTGTTATTCCTTGTTCCTCTATTTCCTATTATCTGTGCTTTTTATTGTTCTCTAAGATCACTAATACATACTTAACTTTTAAAAGCTAATGCATAAGCAATTTAATTCCATAATTCTTTAATCAATTTGAAATAAATTATATTATTCTCTGTTTCTACTGCTTCTGCTTTTCATAATGGATCCTCATACTTTAAAAATGGATAATCTAAATATTTTATAATAATGTGCTTGTACATTCTATATAATGAAATACATTTTAGAATGGCTTCATTGTTAAAAGGCAAAGCTATAAAAAATGAAGATGCACCATTGTGGTTGGTAGTGTACGAAGCTTTTCCTCCAAAATATGAACCAAGATTTGACAGAAGACTGCCAAAGAAGCCAGTTACACCTATCTTTTATGAAGAGGATCTTATTCGAGTGTAAGATATTTTAATGTATTCAATAAAATATTTATATTATGTTATATAAATATGTTTTCTGTTACAGAAAGTTCCATAAAGATCGGAAATTTATACCAGCTACTAACTTGGCAAACGAAAGTGTAAAATCTGCGACGCAGAACTTTCTATCCATGTATCAAACAATAAAAAAGGTAAATTCAATCTATCGATTAAATTGATTTTTCAATAATACTAAGAATATATTTACTTAATAGGAAGGACTGTCAGAAGATAAAGCATATGAGCGAGCGATGGAGCAGTACGTTTCTGAGATGGAAACAAGAACAGAATCGAGAAAGGAGAATGAATCAAGTTCTAATTTATTTAGAAGTTCTAAGTTCTAGAAAAATATATTCTTACCATAAATTCTGTTGTAAATAAAGATTTCATTATTTAACATCTGATATTTGTGTTAAATGCTATCCTATATTGTTGTAATACTGACATAAACAGACATAATTAACGAGTCTTGTTCAACAACAGTGTTTATATTTCGTGACAATCAATACATTAAATAACAATGAGTTTCTGCAAAGTTATAACTTATGTTTATAAGTATGAGATGATAACATAATGATCCTCACAATGAGTAAACATGAATTTACAATGATGTACTTAATGTACAGAGATCAATCGCATAGATTCTCAGTCGCAATAATTAATTATATTCCGTTACACAACGTTAATAATATTCCAAGGCATATGTGACAATAATTGTATAGGGTGATAATTTCTACTTCTTTATAATAGTCGTATTAGAAAAAAGGGGATACAAGCTGCGTATATCACTGTGATTCGCTTTACGCGCTGCAGGTACGAGTAATTAAAAAAATAAATATAAAATGCGTCGAATATAAATTACAGATATTGAATCAGTGCACCAAAAGCGCCGGTTCGAGAATAACAGCCAAAGATGTACGTATCGTACGTATCGTTATTGAAAATATTCTCGGTCACATCACATTTCCTAAAGATAATATTCTTAAAGATAATATCCATTTAGTCCTTTGAATGTCGCTTCTCGTTCAAATGAATTACGGGCGAATTAAACATGCAAATGTGTTGTACTACAATATTACGTTTCATTTTTATTTTATTGCTATAAGCTAATAAAAAATATCAAACTTAATATTATTAGAAAGATATCAAGCTTAAATATATAAAAAAGGAACGAATTTATCAAGTAATATTTCTAGCAAGTATATAGAAATTCAATAAGTGCAATTAAAGAGCGTTGTAATATTAAAAGTAATATAACAATTTTTTGTGACAGTATTTTACGTCTTTTCTTTCACTGAGTATTTCATATCACATCAATTACGTTTGGGATACACTGATTATTCTTATAATTAAATAAAATGAATCGAGATTTATGCCCGTTATACTAATATAGATTAATTTCGGTTCAATTTGTTTTTCATCTTTTTCTAGTTCTGCCTGTTAGAGCTGGCTGCATCATTATTATAACTTGATCGGTCGATTAAGTGTTAATCATGATGATCCATTTCAGTGAAGTAATCGGCCAATTAAGTTAATCAGAATGATGAATATTGGCTCTTAGAAAAAGATGAAAAGTTTCTTAGAAAAAGATTAACTCAAAATTAAACTGCATTGGTAGGAACATAGGCACTAATGATTTCATTGAGCAAAATGCTTCTAATGGATATATGTATTCTTGTGTAATATTGTAGTAAATTAATGTTAATATAATGTTTATACATCATGTCCCACAACCTTCAGTTCGATTAGAGTTAGGCTGCTTTCCTTTTAGGAGACATAGTTAATGCAAATATCATTTTATCCTTCTTAGCATTTAATAAATAACAAAGATAAAAGGATATATATATATTGGAAACTGTCATCTCTCAAAAAGAAAACAGTTTTAATCTCTGTAAAAATTATATAGTGCAATGTAAGATATTATTTTGGACGTGATGTAACTGAATCGCGAAGATAATATGATTCAGAAATCGTATTTCTATATCGATTCAAGATTATGTTAATTTTAGCAGTAAAACTTATCGAAATCTTAATACTAACGAGATATTATAAAAGGTAATATTGATGGTGCTAAAAATAGCTCTTTGACGTTTAAAACAGCTCAGTTAATATCAATTAATATTTGGAAAACGTTTTCCTTCTTTTATTCTATGACGAAAAACAGATTACGTTACCTTCTCTTCCATTAGTTATACCAATATTTATATAGCGCAACTGTCGTAGAGTCCGATTATACTTACGCAAGCACAAACGTACGTTAAAATACTATTAGATTATTTGCTTAAGATTTAGTTTTATACAAAATAAGAATGTTTTTCTCTTATACTTGATAATGCTGTGATTTGGACGAACGAAAGAATATCAGCTTACAGCCTGTGATGCAGGATGTTCGTTAATAAGAGTTCTCGTGGGAAAACTTGAGTTCCGTAAAACTTGTAATGTCATTTCCTTTTTCCATCTTTATAAAGGCGATTTCTTTCTCGAGCACGATTATTAGCGTAATTAACATTCTTTACGTACTAGGTACTATAATATTGGACGTATAAGATTCATTGCTGAGCCCGTATACATTGCTCAATTGAACCTCGCACCACTTAAGCACTTCCGGTATTATGTTGCCGAAGAAGAGAACCGTGTAATCCCATCACAACTCTTTAAAATTTTGGGTGTGTTCCGTTTCACGCATGATGTGCATAATGTATCGTTTATTCTTGTTGCGCATCACATATTAAACAAAGACAATTGGTGCATTATGTGCATCAAAGGTGAAAAACGGAACACATCTTTTGTTTATCATACCGAATTATAACCACTCGTATATTGGCACCGAATTTCCTTATAATGAAAACTGCTTTCTATCAGCATTCATTGAAAAATCGCTGGACCAGAGTAGATTTGTTTTCTTATGCATTTTGTATTAAATGTAGCTTATTTGTGTACCATTATTTTTGTATAAGATAAAGACAGACGGATCGCATGTGCTAAAAAACGATCGCCAAAAGATGCACCTGAGGATGTGGACCTTACTATCTCCGAGGAAATCAAGTTGCCGACCAGTTTTCCGATCTCCAAAGCAGGGTGTACATGCCGTGCCTGAGTTCCTCGTTCTCCAAACTCTTTAAAGAAAAGTCGGTATACCGCGTGATTAGGCTGCGATATCCCTGGCCGACAGTCGCTAATACCGTCTTCCTCTTGTCGGTGGACTTCAGGGATACAATCTGGCAGACTTTGCCCTCGAACGGCCGGAATACAGTGACGGGACGAAGGGTGCCGCACTCGGCAACGACGATGCAGCCCCAGGTAGTACCGATGTATAACTGACCGCAACTGGCCTCGAGAGCGGTCACTTGACACTTTTCCGTCGACAAGTTTTCCTCGATAGCGATGGACTTGAGACTCTCGGAGCAAGGTACCAGTTTAGACATGTCGAGTTTATTGATGATCTGCCGGCTGTCTACGTCCCATTGGTACACGATACAGCCTGGATACGTGTATGAAAAAACGAAGCTTTCGGTCGTTACACCGATCAGATACGTGGCAAACAGATTCTTCATCGCGGCATCATTAGCGGAGCAGTGAGACAGCTGCGTCGTGTCAGCCAGGTTGCCATCCTTCAGAGTGTAAATGGATATCCGGCCATAACTTTGACCAGCCCAGAGCTCCAGCACACGTCTCTTGCGGCATACTGCGGCAAGCGAGTAAGTCTTGACGTCAGCATTGTGACGTGTCGTTTCCGTGCCATTATTACCGCCAGTGATCTCCGTTTTCTTCATTTGCATGAATGTGTTGGATAACAAAAAGATCCGACCGCTGTGTAAGGCCACGGCAAATTGCTTCAACTGTTCTAGGTGAATCAGTCCGACCACTTTAGACTCCCGTCTGTGATCTGTCTCCAGACTATAGCTGGCCACACAGCCAAAGTTACCGCATAAATAGACGTGCACCTGACCGGCATTGTCGCCAATCCAGATATAGCCGTCCACGCCGCACATGGCGTATGGTATCACAGGTGTTTCAATGCGAACGTGGCGCAGCCAACCCTTTTGAGTGCCCAACAACATATCCACCTCACCGTTATTGTGTCCGAACCAGATCTCATCGCTGTTCAGACTCTCTGTTGCATCATTTGACCCGCTGCTACCACAATGATTAGTCATAGTGACCGCAGTCACCTGCGTGCGTTCTGTCAACAAAGTGACGTCTATCAGATGCGTGAACTCAGGCGCGGAGGCGATTGAGACAATCTGACTGGCGGTCGGCCGATCCTTCGGATTCTGTGCCCAGCATATCACCATCAAATCAAGCGCGTAACACGGATGGAAAGTCTCACGGTATATGATCGGTGGTCTACCACCCTCCAAAATGCACTCCTTCACCGCCTCGTGGCCCTCAAATGGTTGGCGCAGTGTGATGAGCTCAAAGATGAACATGCCGAACGAGAACGAATCCACCTTCTCCGTGTATTCTTCCTCACCATTGTATCTGATGATCTCAGGCGCCATGAAGCCTTCTGTGCCTCCAAAACCTTTCGCTCCTGTAGGCAGTGTCAGTCTTGAGATACCGTAATCAGCGACTTTGACGTGCACCGGTTCTGGATTCTCTTGAAACGGTAACGGCATCTGCCACACCAACACGTTCTCCGATTTGAGGTCGCGATAGATGACGTGTTGCTGATGCAGATACTCCACTGCCTTAGCGACCTGAAGGATTACCGCCTGAAGCGTATAAGGATCCAACTTAGCACCGGAGCGACGATAGTTTTTTAGAACGGCATCCAACGCGCCCTGAGGTGCCAGATCCAATACGAGAGCCAAAGGACTGACAACTATACCTATCAGCGGTACGATATTAGTATGTCTTAGTGTTAGTAAAATATTGAGCTCTTGACGAGCCATACAATACGCTTTGCAAGCGTATTGCAGTGGGTCACGGTCCCATTTACTTTGTGATGCCTTGTATGCGAGGATTGCCGACTGTGTAGAATTTGGCCCTGGCGAGACGGGTTGCAACATTTTGATGGCTACATCGGCGCGGACGTACGTGCCGGGTAATCGGCAGCTGCCACGAAAGACGAAACCAAACGCGCCACGACCTAGTAACTTGCCCCGCTTCAAATCCTCTGACTTAATCAGGTGTTTAGCGCCTAAATCCATGAAGATGATGTCCGGTGCGACGTGCGACAGCGGGATCTCCAAATGCTTTGGACAACTGATGGGCTTGTTGCTGTACGCTGCCAATATACACTCCTCTACCATCCAAGAATATGCAAGAGTATTCTCGGGATTCGAGTTCTGCTGCTTTGACATATCCGGATGTCCCTCAAGTGATGGCATCCTGCTGGACGTCAGACTGTCATAACCGACACCGCTATCGCCATCGGACTTGTAGCTATCCTGACTTTGCCTCTCGGTGCGAGACTTCATGGCGCAGTACTTCTGAATGTCTTCAATCAGTCGGCCATCACTGTCGCTTGACTCGCCATCGCCATTCTCGGTATTGCCGAGTAAACAACGCGGGCACGGTATCAATCTTGTGACTAGCAATTTACCTTCCGACGTGTGGACAAAACGCGTGCCTAGTGTGGGGTACCAATCTTCTAGCAAGATATCGATGTGATCGACGATCAATGCCATTAACTGCGGTATACTCTCTGGTCGTGGCTCTACCACGATTGCTTGGTAACCCATCGGCTCCTCGTCCACAGAATCAGACATAATGGGCTGCTTAATCACCAGGGTATCTACTGGAAACCAAATTTCTAGAATAGCAGAATTTTTCAAGTCCACTGTGCACCAAATACCGTCTTGTTTTAACTTAAATTTAAATTGTCTGTAATCGTACGGCGAATTCTTCAGATTATAGCAGACTTCTTTTAGACGTAATAAGGTAATACCCGAGTATCGCAATTCGATTCCCGTCTGCCAGAGCACCCACTCGGCCTGTAGATCTAACAAACTAGCAAAAATATTGTCGTCGACGAAATCCTTGAATGGCGCCAGAAACGACATGACGATATCGACGATGGCGTCATCCGCGAGGATCCGAGTAATCAGTCGGGACCAAAAACCGCTAGGAAAATATGACATGAGTAATAACCTAGTGACGGAACAATCGGGTTGCGATCTCGACGTGAGCACGCATTCAGCGTTATTTTTATTGTCGCTGATTAATGCACCCAAGCACGCAAACATGGGCGACGTGATCTTCTTCGCACGTACGTGCCAACCGCGAGTCTTTACCGGCACCTTAATTATCTGATTATTACGCAAAATATCTTCTTCAGTTGGTAGAAGGGATGGTATCAGTAGCGTGCGGCAATCCCATGTCAAAGCAACCTCGAACTTGTTAAGCAAGCTAACAATATAACCTTGGGTGTCAATTGATGATATCGTGGAGGATTTGAATACATGTTGAATATCGTCCAATTTCATTATACCTGATCTGGCGAACGGGTTGATCTCTCGTATGGTGACCACGTGAGCCAGCATGTCGCAGAGCCATTGTGGATCTAAGAAATAGAGGTCTTTCAACGTAGCATCATCATAGTGGAGGATTATCCCGTTTTCATGCAGGAATAACGTCGCCTGATGTAATTCGGCAGGATCTCTGAAGGATCTGTGCAACTTTTGAAGCTCATTATTAACCGCTGCGTAATATTGATCGGCCTTTAGCACCGGATCCAAACCGGACAGCTTTCTGTCATGCGCCAATTGGATCACTACGTCTTCCAGCGCTAAATAACTCGCCGGGACCTTCTGTTCGAGTAGCAGTTCCTTGCTGCCGGGCGATCTCAAACTGAAGACAACGTCATAAATAAGATTGCACAACATCTTGATATTGTGACGTGTCTTGCAGCTTACTTCGATTGTTTCCATGACCTTTGGTAGACCGCACTTCTCGGCATCGACCACGTTGATAAATTTGTCGCGAATATATTGTTGGAGACCTTCGCTATGCTCATAAGAAACGTCGTAATGCGTGCCGACGATGATAACCGGTGAATTAGGTGCTCTGCTTTGAATGTTCACCAGCCACTGAAAGATCTCGGAAACGCCTTTGAAACCGTCCGTGATCCGCCACACGACTAGATACAGACTGCGCTTTGATAAAAAATACTGATGCGTCGCGTAGTATTCACGTTGACCACCAAAATCCCAGGTTCTGAAGTAAACCTGTCCATGGGATGATTGTCCGCGCACTTTCTTCTCGTAAATCCAGTCGCCAATGTCCACACCCACGGTCGAGATAGTTGTACCCTTGGCGGTTTTCGCATTGATGTTCTTATTACCCATCCGCTTGGCCCAATGTTCGGATGCCTTTTTCTTGTTCGGCACCTCGCCTTCCTGCCGTAATTGCTCCAACAAACTCGTTTTGCCAATTCCCTGAATACCAACGATCATCAGTTTCATGCGTGCATACGCCTTTGCGTCCTCCAGGATGGATTTCAGGTAACCGATCACGTCCATCGTCTTATACTTCTTCGACTCGATCATCGACTTGAGCGGCTCCTGTAATCGGCAGCCCTGCGTGTTCAAGTTCCATAGGCGACCCAGCAAACCCATCTGTGGTGGCAATTCAACGATCTCATTGTTGCCGCTGATGTTCAACACCGACAAATTATTTAGCTCGTAGATGTTGTGCGGTATCTCGCGTAATTGATTATTGCTTATATCCAACATACTGACATTGGGAAACAGCAAGTACAGCTTTGATCCGGGATGTCCGATCTTTGGATCTCTGTCCGAATCCCCGCGTTCTTCCTCTAAGCATGGCATCTCACCATCGTCGCATGATGTCAGCTGAATACGATTCAGTAGATTATTCGCCAGGATCAGCGTGCGCAAGTTTTCCAGTCGTAGATGCCGCCTATGTACACACACCGATTGCAATACAATATCACGCATCGATGTGGGTGTTTGTCGATTACCGGGCACTATACTGGGCGACTGTGCGTTTACAGCCGGACAATAGCAGGCCGTATTCGCTTGTTCCATGCTGTCAGAGCTATCCACCTGGGGTAGACTGGGCCATCGCGAGATTTGATTGTTTGATAAGTCCAACTGTTTCAAGCTCGCTGGATACGAAGTGATGTGGCTCATCGAGCGCAGAGAATTGTATGCCATGTTTAGCCGTACTAGACTCACCGCCAAACATGGTAACGCCACAGGAATGCTGTTGAAAAGGTTATGCGCCAGATTCAATGACGCTAATACTGATTTGTTGCCGTTCTCTGTGTCATCACTCATCCTCTCCGACACTTGGACCGAACTAGTCCACACGTGTGGCCTTTCCATTTCGATTACCTGCGCGTTCGCGATCTTTGTGAATGAGTCGAACTCCATGGACTCTATTCGCGGCACAGCAGCCAGTCCGCGAAAGGTGCCATTCTGTTGCGTCTCTTCGCCTCGCTGGGGTTTCCTTAAGACATTTTGCGACGCTTGGCTGGGTAGATCACGCAGTAAATTGAACGAGGCGTTTAATTCCTTCAACTTCGGTGCACGCCATAAATTCTGTGGCAAACACTGCAGTTTGTTATTGGACACGTCCATGATTTCAAGCGCCGGTAAGTTCATAATGAATTCTGGCAGCTGCTCCAATCGATTGTCCTGTAGATACATCTCCTCCAGAACTGGACATAGCTTGTCCTTCGGATTTTTGGAGTCGGCCATTAGAGTGTCAATTTTGTTCTGTGCCATGTTGAGATACCGTAGACTCTGTAAATAGAACATGGTAGACGGTATGGAGGTGATGGAGTTGAGGGAGATATCAATCCGCGTGATGGCGTACAACACCAGATCGTTATTCTTCGAACTTAGTTTTTTGTTGACGTGCAATACTGCGTCGATCAACCACTGCAATCGGATTTGCGAGAGATGACACTGCTGATCGTGCCAATTAATCATAGTGGGCGTCTTCGGAAACAACGTAGAATAAGTGACGTGACCGAAGGACGACAGAGCAGAGAAGTGTGAGCTCTGCGTACATTCGGTCATCGCCTTCTTGTTGATCTTATACTCGGAATCCGGATGAGCCTTGATCGACAACAGTTTTGCAGTCAACGCCTCGTCACGATTCTGTGCAGCAATCTTCAGCGCTTTGCACTCGTTGTCGACGGCGCCATGTTTTAGCAGTAGATCCGCGATTTTCACATCGCGATTCTGACACGCGATCGTCAATACGCTTGAATAACTACCGTCAGGATCGTTCTGATCGTATGGAATTTTGACAGGCAATTCAAGATTAGCGCCCGCCTGAAGAAGAGCGTTCACCACTTCAGTATGTTTGCCCCTGACAGCTGCATGCAATGCTGTTTCGCTACCATTATTGCAATAAAGATCCAGATTCACTGGATATATCATTTTATCATCCTTCTTATCTATGGGCGCCTTGCTGCGGAAATTCAGCGACGACATCAACCTCTGAATACCACTAGAAATCTTGCGCTTCGATACCGGAAGTTGTTGCGCGCCATTCACTCCATCCTCTTCTTTGGTCGTCCTCGCCTTTACTCGATAACCCAGAAGCAGCTCGATGCATTTGACGTTGCCCAGCATACTAGCTATATAGAGTGCGTGTTGGCCAGTGACGTCCTGCGCGTTGATGTCGAACGGTAGTTCGTATTCGAACTCACCGGACGGATCCCTGTAGCGTTGATAGACGTGCTGCGGATACTCAAACTTGAGCAATATATCGATCACCAAATGATGGCCATTTATCGTCGCCGCATGAATCGGCAGCCAGCGCTCCACTGTGAGTTGTTGCGTCTGCTTGGGAAAGTGTCGGAGCAACAGTTCTACAATCTCCAATTTACCGTGGTAACACGCTATGTAAAGTGGACAGTATTTGGTGACTGGATGGATCCTGCAGTCGGCACCGTGATCCAGTAGCAGCCGAACGATGTCCTTGTGACCGCTCTCGCAGGAGACGAAGAGTAGCGTGTTGGCGCCGTTCGGCGCCATGTTCACCACGCATTCTAAATCGGTCGACAAACTCTGGATGATATTCCGAGCGGCCACAGTGTCACCCTGAATACAAGCCGCACGTAAGGAAGCGTGGGTCGCCTGTTTTGCAAGTTCATATTTCTCGGCCGCCGCTTTCAGGAGATAAATGCAGGAATCGTGACTGCTCTTCTCGGCTATGTCGATAGGCTTCAGGCCGTCATCGTCTCGGATCATGAGATCCGCGTCAAAACTCAGTAGCTTCTCCACGTTGCCGGCGTGACCATGTTCCGCGCAAACGTGCAGCGGCGTTCGATGATGACCGCGGGGACCGCAGGTGACGTTCGGATCAGCCCCAGCGGTCAGCAAAACATCTAGACAACGGGAGTTCTCCGTGATCGCGGCCGCGTGCATCGGTGTTCTGCCCCATGAATCCTTACTGTTGATATATTGGGTGTGTTCACCGCGCAGCAAATCCTCCAGCAACTCAGCGTTGTCCCAGAGTGCAGCTTGGTGCAACAACCGGCCCGGGAAGTCCTCGTCGATCGGCGTGTAATCCTCCATTACGAAGTCTACAAAATATATTGCTTTCGAATTGTTCCAATAGCGAAAAGCATAGCAACTGAAGAGCTTACAAAAAACGAGATCCTTAAGCCAATAATAATTAAATAAAAAGTCAAAATCGGCAATTAGAAATTGTAAATGTTTAAATTATTAATTTAAACTTTATTTTTAAATTATTTATTTAAACGCGCTTAAATAATTAAGACTTTGCACGTCTAACAATTAACGTTGAACAGACGTGTAAGGTCTGTTGATTATTGTATTATATTTAAGTGCAACACTTACAGCGCCAATTCCTAATTGCTCATTTAAACCTTTTAATTATTGAAGACCTTACGTTCTTTAAAAGAACAATGTAAATAGAAATCATCTTCCTTTTCCTTCTAATATAAAATTATGCATTTTAAAAAGATATACAATAATTTGCAATTTAAAAAGATAAATCCTGCAATTATTCCTTTAATTTTTTTCCTTTTAGTGTTACCTTCCAATATTACTCAATATTTTATTAACTGACATTATCTTTTTACTGCTACTATCGTTTATATGACACGCTATCGTTAATGAAAGTGGGTATCTTAATGAAAATTTATATCCTACATAATAGATAATAAATATTCGAAGAAACAGTTGTTTACGAACTTAAACTAGAATAGAGTTGGATTTCTCCAATTAAGATCTGCAAATTAGTGATGATTATTAATGTAATTAGAAATGTACCTGTGCAAATCCTGTTTATGTCCTCGTTACATGATCGCTACTGTTAATGTCATTTCTTTTGGTGTCATCATTTCCTCCGAAGTGCATTCTGAAATGTGTTGAACGAATCGAATTAGTAAATATTGCTAACTTACAAATGTTCTTTAAACATTGCACGACGCTTACTTTGACATCACACCGCAGATCAATGCACCACAGCTGAACTGCGTTGCTCAAGAATTTAAATCCGGATTCACGTTAGCTCGGTGAGGCTTCGTGAGAGCTATAATACAAGCAAGACGTCCATTTACTTGATTGAAATTACAATGAAGAATTCTTGCGTGTTAGTAAAACATATAATTTTTAACACGCTAAAAGAAAAAAGAGAAAGTCACAATTTAAAAAATAATCAGTAGCTCCCGTTTTTAAATAATAAAATTCAAATTGTCACTCAGTAATTGTCTCAGAAATTAAATGTCAAAATCGATTTACTCTGTAAAAAAATCTTTCAATTCAATTATGAAAAAAATGTTGCATGCAAGCGTGAAATGCTTATCGCATCCATTTTAGATCGATAGATATCTAACAAATAGAGCAACAAAAATTCCATACCTTGTTTATTAAAAAACATGAAATAAAACTTTAACATAAATAATTAAGTCTTTTTACAAAAATACCTTTCTTATTAAAAACAAAAAAAATTGAACTTTAACTCAAGTTACAGATCGTTTAAAAATGAACAAAAATATCCTACTCTTTATTTAAAACATGAAATAAAACTTTACACGAGTTACAAATAGTTTAAAAAACTAAACAAAATCATTTCACCTTTTTCATTAAAAAACATAGAATTTGAACGATTATAGGTCATTTAAAAATAAATAAAAATATTCTACCCTTTTTACTTAAAATAAAATAAAATAAAATTTTAACGAAAGTGTGTGTTATTGCGGTCGTTTAAAAAAATAAAAAATTCCGTCCTCTTTAAAAAATTTAATAAAACTTCGACGGAGTTATAAGTCATTAAAAAAAAATAAATATATATATTCTATTCTATTTATTAAAAAAATAATAAAATAAAACTTTAACAAAAGTTATAGGTCGTGTAAAAAAATGAACAAAAATGTTCCATCCTTTTTATAAAAAAAAATGAAATAAAATTCTCTTTAACGTACATTTTATTAAAAAATAAATAAAATAGAACTTTAACCTTTTCTCACACATTACGTATATAATATACATTAAAAATTTGAAAGTATATATATTTTTTTTCCGTTAAAATTATTTAATTAATTCTAGATATTATATAATTAATTCAATCGGCATTATACAGAAGAATATACATATATAATTAATTCTTTATAAACTATTTTTTTTATCTTAATGATTCAATTTAATTCAGGTCTGAAGGGATTAACGTAAGTTATAGTCGTTTACAAAAACCAATTTAAAAAGAAAAGAATAAATCTGTTTCACATTATTTTGAACTGCACGCGATTTTTTCGCGCGAGCGCGTGCACATGTCGCAGAGGGGGATGGAGAGGGAGGAAGAGCTACACGACAATTTTATAACCTTCATGTTTAATTGTACGTGAATTCAAGGGGACGGAAGAGGGAGGGGAGAGGTTTATGAAAGCGACAGCGTTGCGATTAAGCGGCGAATGTGAAACCCGAGGCCAATAAATCCAACAATAATTTTCAGCATTCTCATGTGTTGCAAAAATCAGTGTAGCGTCAAAATTCTCGTGGTGATTTTTTTCACGACTCTGTAAAGAGTCGTATACGTAGTCAGATAGTCTTTTTCCGCTTGCAAAAATCTAAAAAATCGCTGTCGAGAATAAGTGAACAGCTAGTCACTGTGACGCAGAACAAAATTCACAAATCAGCTGACGAGCGCTGACCTGTCAATCGCGGCGTCAATTATAATTCTCGGTTTTTTTTTAAAGAGAATCTTTCGGCGGATTTTCCTGGAACTTCAGACAGACACAAAACTGTAGGTTTCTTTTCGTTTACCTTTGCCATTTAGCGCACGAGCCGGCGATGTATCTCGGTGGAATTAGCCGCGACGAAGTATCATTCGTTGCGGGTCGACGGAGCGGCCAGCCTCGTGCGCGTTTTCCTCCGACAGGAGATAGCGATCACATTGTGATCCACACGGAGTTCGCAAACACTCGTACGAAGACATTCCTGTCGCGCGCGACCGCGCGACACTATTGACAGACTCCGAAATCGCTACGACCAGAACGGCGAGCGAAACGAGACTGAAGTGACTGAACGATACTTGACGGAATCATTGTCGCGCAACGGCGCGCACCGAAATACCGGAGCATGAGAATGAGAGTAGACATGCTCACATGTTTCAGACAGTTCGGGTGGAATTTGTCAAGTGGCGCCATCATATGCGTAAACGCGTATATACGTAGTATAGCCCATGTCCATGAATATTTCCGACGATCGTTCATCGTTATGTCGTAGATTTTTCAATTATATCGTTATAAAGTATTGTACTAAAACATTTTTTAATTTTTACCGAAAGTGCCTTAAAAATATGGCTTCAAGATTTTAGAAAGGCATCTGAAGTTATGTTTTTTATAAGACATTTTTATAAAATGTTGAAGTTTAATTGTGTGATGAAATTTTTTCCCAGAATTTTTTTATAAATTGGATTACTTAATTGTGAGAAAAGTCATGAATCTATACATTTTTTAAAATTTTTCATTTATGTGAATTTTAAATATTCTAAGAATTTCTCATTCTATAATTTCTAAAAAAATACTTTAAACTTTTGTAGATTTTATAAGTTTTTATCAGAAATTTTATAGAATAAGAAATTTCAGAATCTTAAAATATTCTAAAATCATAAAAAAATTCTAGAAAAGATATAGACTTACTTTTGGCACTTTTGAAACATTTAATTATGTAAAAATATCTGAGTAGAAATTTTTTAAAAATTATAAAAATATTCAAAAATTTTAAAAAGTTATTTAAAACATTCTGAGAAATATTTTCACAAGGTATAATATTTACTATCATATGATTAATTTAATACACAAACTAATACCATACATTTAATTTATGTAAATATATAAGTTGTACATACCTAATTTTTAAAAATCAAGTATAAATATAAAATTACTTCTAATATAACTATAATAAAAATAATTATTATATTTATAAATTAATTTCTCTCTTTTCATTAAAATATATAAGTTTTATAAATGCATGATAAAAATTACGAAAGTAATTTTGCCTATAGTAGGCACTAAAGGAAATTGTATTATCAGTAGTGCTCACAGATTAAAGGTATCAATAAGCGTCAATAGGTGCGCGAGAATCGACGTAAATAAAACGTCGAAAGAATGATACATAGGACTGAAATGAGATTGATATAATAAATAGTGTCATTAATTGCAATTATTTTTACATAGTTTTGTTGAGTGGATGTGATGATGATGCCCGGAAAAACTCCAGTACAAGGTAAATATCTATGAAATTCTGTTTTTCTACTAACCTGCCATAGGCAAAATTACTTTCGTTATTTTTATTACGTGGGTGTGTTTATAATACTTATATTTTATTGAAAAGAAAACAATTAATTTATAAGTATTAATTATTTTTTATTATAATTATTATATTATACGTAATTTTAATATTTGTTTAATTTTTTTAAATGGTTTATGTTTATATGTGCTTTGTATAACCATTACCTAATATTTAAATTCTTAATAACATTCCATAAATGACATTTGAGATAATTCTTATTCTCTCCTTATAGAAAATCCTTTAGGCCTGTCTTGGCATGACAGCACTTGGATTCCTGTTCTTAATCCAAGCAACATCATGGATTATTTCTCAGAAAGAAGTAATCCATTTTATGATAGAACTTGCAATAATGAGATAGTCAAGATGCAGCGTTTGAGCCCTGATCAACTGAAGTAAGTCTCAATCAATCTCAACATTAAATGTACAAACATACAAACTTTATCATTATTGTCATATTTATGAATGCTCGTTATTCTTCAGCAATATGACTGGCTTGGAGTACATTCTTTTGCACGTGCAAGAGCCAATCCTATATGTGATTAGGAAACAACTCAGGCATTCACCAACTCAAGCTTCAGCAGTTGCTGATTATTATATTATAGCTGGTGTTGTATATCAAGCTCCAGATTTAGGGTCTGTTGTGAGTTCCAGACTGGTGAGTGAGAGAAAAATATTTATTTAAATTTTTATCAAGATTGGGGCTATTATCAGAATATTTTATATATCCTCTTTAATATAATACTTGTTTTATAGATTGTATGTTTAGTTATTGTTATATTTAAAAAAATGTACTTTATATAGTTGTCCACAGTTCACCACCTACAATCTGCCTTTGATGAGGCAAGCAGCTGTTCTCGATATCATCCGAGTAAAGGCTATTCTTGGGATTTCAAGAATGGTAAGGCCTTAGCTGCAAAGAAGGAAACACCGGTGCGCGAGGAACCTAGCTCGCTGTTTCAACGTCAAAGAGTGGATATGTTACTCGCAGAACTTACTCGTAAATTTCCCTTACCGGTGCCGAAGCCAGTACACCAAGCAACAGAAGCTTGTATGTGGAGCGTAACTTATATAAAATTTTATACATATCCTACTTTATTTTTTCTTTCTCGATTTTAATACCATCATGATGTTATTATTTTTTTAATTATTTCAGCCGTAGAAATTAAACAGGAAGTGAAAACCGAGAAAAAAGATATGAAACCACCACCAGAAAAGAAACCTAGACTCAATTAATAATAAAGATAGATGTAATATATATATAATTTTATGGCCTATTTACCACTAAAAGTATCAACGTTTTTTATTCATTAAAAGAACAAATAAATTACTTTAAAAATAAAGAAAATGATAAAAAAATCAAATATTTCATCAGTATAAAGGTAAAAAGTTTTTGCATCTTTTATATACAAGAAATATAATATTAATTAAAAAAATAGGAACGATTACTAATAACTGATTGATACTTTTGGTAGTATAATAGTAACATATTTATGTGCGCATTTTTAAATTTTATGGCGTTATATATATATAAGGTATAATAATTACGTTTAAGGAAAAACAATTGTAGATTTGTAAGTTTAAATTGTGATTTTACTAATAAAAATTTTAACAAACTCTTATATTATATAAAAAGCACTTATCTCTCTTCATTTTTATTATTTAATTTAGCTTTTATGATATTAAAAATAAATATTTTTAACGATTTTACATACTCATTCTAGTATTATTTATGCAGTAATTGAATAAGTGCGAATTAAATTAAAAATAGACTTTAAATTGAATTCGATCTAATTTCTTATCGAAGAATATACCTCTTTTATTGTAGTACATTGTTTATAGTTTTTGCTATCAAATATACAATACTTTTTTTACGCCGAGCAAATGCTTAATTATTTTTATATGGAGAAATACAAATAAAGCGATATCGCAACTTTTTATAGAGCAACAGATCGGAATAAAGGTAAAAAAAATATGTTGATGTAAATGTTTGATTGTAAATGGATCATAATAGTTAGTATGTATGTACAAGAATACAGACGGTGGCAATTACAATTGCAACAGATATTCAGAGGCGACGTATAGTCGCTGCAACTGTTATTATGCGTGCAATTGCAACTGCTATTTGTCTGCTGCAACTGCTAAAGATTCATTAGCTATAATTTAGTTGAAATTCACTATCACTTTGAAACTACATTCCTGTATAACTTTAGATATGTTCGCTTTGAGCGCTCACGCGCTGTAAGCTTCATTCTATCTTATTTCCGTACATAATGAGATAAAGACAGAATGAAGCTTACAGCGCGAAAGCGCTCAAAGCGAATGTATATAGCCTTTGTGACACGTATTTCTGCGATGTTTAGCTATTAGTTATGGACAATGCTGAACTTTGAATGTGATTTTGTTGCATACGATCATTTTGGTGAAAATCAATGGAATGAGGATAAAACGCCAGCTTTCGTTCGCTTACAGTACATGCACATGAAATTGCACATGAAATTGCGAACGTCGATCAAAAACCGTCGATCGCGCCATTCAATTTGCACGCCAGCTTGCTCGCACCTTCAGCCATGTCCGCGGCGGGTTTATCCAGAGAAAAATGATCCTTTTAGATCATAAGAATCGCCCTGTGCACCGCGAGAGATCATTTTTGCGATATGCCGTCGAAAATGATATGCGACGCTCGTACATGCGGCGGTTGCCGGTATCTGGAGCAGGACGAGCAGAACGATCGGACGGCGAACCTCGCAGAGTTCCTGGCGAACTGTCAACACGCGAAATGCAAGGTGGTTCGTCTGGTCCGTCAGCAAATAAGTAAACTGCAGAATATGCAGGTACGGGTCCCCGCATTTCCCGTAATTGGACCGATCGATCCTCCCGACACCTTCCCCACGTCGCTGAAATCACCCTCCGGATCGTTTGGAGAACGTCGGCTCTCTCCGTTTTAAGATACATCCCCGCGACACACGTTTACGGACGCGCGGTGTTGACTTTGCTCTTGCACGCGATAATTCGGAGCGTTTGTGCAATTTGCTACGCGACATTCGGAAAGGTGGAAGCGCATCGAAGGAAATTAAACGTGTATTTGCCGAGAAATTAAATATATATCAAATTAAATATAACCACGCGTCTAGAGATATCATTCTCGATGACGACAAAAAAGAACTTTTTATCGGAAAACGAGTAAGAGGAAGAGACAGGAAAAAAGAGCATGCGATTTTAAATTATTCAAATTTGCCCACTGCAAAAGTTGTGTAAGAACTCTTTATTAATTTCTTATCAGCTATCATTTCCCTGCGAAAGGTAGATGGATTAAAAGAAATTGAGACGGAAATTGAGACGGACAGATTAATCTCGCAAATTGTTCGGTTCCATTCTTTTTCTTTTACTTTTGAAAGACCCGTCATTCTTTTTTGCTCTTTTTCCACTGACGATTGTATCTCGGAGTTTTAATTTACTGCACAAATTTACTTCACATTTCCAGTTCATCTAGAGAAACATTAATTTCACTAACAACGGAACCATCGGAATTGTCCGATTTTGATGAGCTTTGAAATATGTTGTAAAGCATAAAAATATATTAGATCCATATTTTTTTTATATATGTATCTAAAGATTCAGGGAGTGAAACAACTTTTTTTCTCGAGAATAACGAGAATTTTTTTCATTTTCAGCGAATATCTTCGAACTATGATGAGGTACATGAAAAAATGTTTTATATAAAAGTTTTATGGTATTTTATACTCTTCATAACGGTGTAGTCACATTTTTTAAAAATGTTAAGTTTTTCTTAATTTATCGTCATCCATAGGAGAGTGTTTTGATCACTAAACCTTAAAAATGTAAAAAAAAAAATGAATATATTTAATATCTCTCACTGCTTAACAAATTTAATTTTCTCTAGACCACGAACTGAACAAAGTGATTCTTATAAATTTTTTTATCACAAAAACTATGAATCCGTAAATGAAATTGCTCTATCACGTTACGTGTTTAGGAAAAATGAAGTTAAATATGCTGAAAATGGCATGTTTGAGCTAAAATATCTCAAAAACGTGACATGATAGAACAATTTCTCTTATGGTCCTATCCAACATAGATTAACTTTAATCTCAGTTTAACTTACTTTTTATCTTTTTATATAGTTCTAAGAATTAGAAAAAGATAGAGAGTAAATTAAACCGAGATTACAGTTAATCTACAACGGTAGAAATGAACATTAGTCTCGAACGCAATAAGTGCAGTAAACTTTAAGAAATTGACCAATCATAGTCGAGTATTCTTCTAACATTCGATTATAATTAATCAATTTCTTAAGACTTAAAACTTACTATACTTATTGTTATTCGGGATTTACGAATTTATTTTCAGCAATAAAAAAATCTGTAAGAATCGCTTTGTTTAATTTGTGATCTAAAATTCGTGTTGTACAGTTTTGATGTCGTACAACATATCCCAAGATCAAAATCAGTGAAAGAAAAGGACAATTTCGATGATTAATTTCCTAAAGATCTTATAAAATATCACATCGATATGAAAAGTTAAAAAAATTTCTTCTAGCAATCAGCAGTTAGTAGTAATTTTGTACACTGAGAAAACCATTTATTAAATTTTAATAAATATTTAGATAAATGAAAAAAATGTTAGTTGAGTAAAAAATGGTTCTTGCATCAAATAAATATGTGTTAACATTTAATAAATATTGCGCTAGGAAATTTTCTATTCAAAGAAATATATTTATAAAGATTCAGTAAAATTTTGCCCCATTTTTCGGGAAAAATCTTTTTGTTATAGTACGAGCATTTACTGACTACGAGCGACGAGGCACGTGAAAAGGTGTATAACGAAATGCCCACTGAAATGCACGAAGCGCTCAACAATGAAGTCCACGAAGTGTACGGTGAAGTACACGATGATCTGCACGAGGTGGAGAGCAAAGTAGAGCAGGCGTCCAACGAATCGTACGGAAATGTGTACGAGACACAAAAAGCTGCTGCAGTTACAAAGCGAACTGTCGGAGGGACGAACGCAATAGGGGTAAGAAAAAAAAAATAGATTCTCCTGGCTTTGATTTATAGTTTCTCAATTAATCGGTTATTAATAAAATAAAGTTAGAGTTCTTATATTAATAAAATAAAAAATATACCTTTTCTTTCTCTATGCGTCGACCGAACACGGAAAGAACGATATATTTTGCTGAAATGTCTAAAAAATTAACTAGATACAATTAACGTTCAATTTTGATCTACACGTCATGCTACACGGAATATAGACGATTTTGCGATCAATATGTCTTGACATTTGTAATATATATATTTTTTTTAATTAATATGGTTTCGAACTTCTTGTTGTTTTTTCACATTACTTCAGTTTTGTCAATCTGTGAGTAACTTGCTCTCAATGGATGGTGACTTCATCTATTTTAATATCGCTGAAAAGGACTCCAAAGAGAGTTGAAATGTTCAAATATAATAAAGGAGACATTATACAATCGTCTGAGTAATTATCTTCAATTCTAAAATTTTGCGCTCGTATATCTGCGCTGACTTTCATTAGCCTGTTTTTAATGGTTTATTTATTACAGGGTTGACAAAGACTAATGTTCTTTTTTAAAGAATAAAACGTTACGTTTTTTTTAAACATGTTTTCAATGCTTCAAATACGCTTTAAACCGTATTACAAAAAAAAAGTTAAAACATGTTTTTTACCAACCCTGATTTATTGTATTTTAACTAGATACAGACTTGGAAATAATTTTGGTGGACCATCAAAATATTTATATAGAAAACTCAAGCATGTTGATGAACTCAAACAATACTGCAAAAAGTTTTGATGTTCTACCTTGAACGTTCTGTATAATTATTCTGATATTTCAAGAAAATTACTTCTTGATCCGTACCAAGCAGATTTTTAGACTTCAGCAGAAATCATTCTTTCTGCGAAGAGATGCGAGTCAAACGTGCGATTGTAATTTACTTAAAAGCTTTCCGATGTAATCGAATTGTTTGTCTCTAAAGGATAACCCGTTACGAGAGTTATTATTTTCACCTTTTGGATGAAATTAATAGCTCGGCTTATGTTCCTCGGATGTTCTCTGATAACCGCGCATGTCTAGAACGCAGCGACCGCATCCTTGCGTCACACGGCGTCTCCTGGGAGAGCGGTGGACCGCAAGTGGATGCTGCGGATCCTGGATCGCGTTCGTCATCGAGCGCATCTGATACTGGCGGCCGCTGTGGTCGGTGTGATAGTCTGGACCGCTCTGGTGTACGGTGTTTTCCTGGGCGCGACGGCCTGCGGAAGCGGACGCACCTGTTTCCGGTCGTCTCTTAAATATACGCATGCTAAACGCACATTGTTTTAGCTCGTGCCATCTATCGACACCTCGTAAACGACACCTCGTAAATGGTGATTAAAGTTAACCGAGGTACAATCCATTTCACTTCAGCGTCTGCGAAAAGAGGTGGTTGATTGCCAGCTAGCTTTAATGAAGATTTCTAAGAATCGATTTGTAGACGTCCTTTTTCTTTTCTTCGCGAAATTACGCGGAGAGTGTTTACCTCATTCTCGTACATCTACCGTCGAAGTATCTTTGGTAAACTCAGGTTTTTAAGAGATAAAACAAAATATAAATATACTTTATACGTACTCTTATATATATACATATATACATACATATATATGTATATAATGCTTTATTTTTATAAAATTCTGAATGTAGAAATATGTTTTTTAATAAAATTCTGAATATACAATTTTTCTGAATCAGTATTATTTTGTATGAATTAAAAATAATATTTTTATAATTATATCTCCACAGTCCTTTCTTTTCTTAGAGAAAAGATTAAATTAGCTGGGTTATAATTTAACTATTATACGTGAAAATCTTTTTATATACGATATATATTAAAAATAAATTTATATTTAGAAAAATATATATATAGTATTTTATACTAAAGTTTTTTATACCCCTTTTTATTTTAAAAAGAAATCACCTGATTTGTGGTAATAAAAAAAAATAGATTTTGTGCTCTAATATTATTATAGTATGAAGTGTTATAATATTATTAATCCAGAGATTCTATTTTCTAGTTTTTAATTTTATTTTAGTTATTATAATAAGAAGTTATGTAATTTAGAAAGTAAGATACGAAATATATTTAAAGCGTATCTATCACACATTTACTAGAGTATATAATAAATATAATAATACATCTATTATAAGAGGAAAATTATACCGATAAAAGTAAATCAATTAAGAGAAATAATCATATTTTTCATTGCAGCAAATTTTAGAGTGCTTAATAACTTAGTTTACTGGAAACTTGAAACTGTAATTGCAAACTGAAGCTGAAATATTAATATCTTAAATTAGATTGATCGTTAATTTAATAATAACAATAAGCAACTTAAAGAACTGTATAAAGAACTTAAAGTTATCACAAATCAAGTTATCACAAATGTATTATCTTAGGATTTGATAGTTTGATTTAAATTTGAAACTCCCGATTCCTCCAAGACGAGTGTGTCATAACAATTCGACCTTTAAGGCATACAATAAAAATTTAATAAAAAAATATGATAAAAATACTAAAAAATAGAATTTTGATATCTTTTTTACATTAATCAAAAAAATCTGCACATAAAATTAAATTAGTGTAAAAAAAAGAGTAACGAAAAAGTAACGATTCGTTATACATATTTTGAGTAACAATAACGATAACAAGTTACTTTTGCAAATCAATAACGAGTAACGGGAAAGAGTTATTTTTTAGGAAAAAGAATAGTAACGAGTTATTTTTATGAGGTAACTTTGCCAATCCTGAAAATTTGTATATAAATATTATTAAGTACACAAAGATCTACTTTAATTGAATATAGGATTATTTTTTTAATTGATAATATATCACTTATTTATTAAATATATAATATATATATTATTAATTGGAGAAAATGAATTGAGGTGTTAAGTTAAAATAGTTTAAAAAATAAAAAATATAAATAATACGCATATAGAATTATAAAAAACTTCTTTTAGACATTTAAAAATGGCTCAGCGAGAAATGGAAGAAGAAATAAGAAAAGAAAGCAGCTGGGAGATGGAGGTTTATCGGTCGTGGTAATAGCGTTAAGAAATAACGAGACATTTTAAGACTTGACACAAAATATATTAAACTTGGAATAGTACACCACGTGTAGCGTTCGGTTAAATTATGCGACTAAATCGTCTCGCGACGACTTCGCGATTCATTCGCCCCGGTCTCGTGCTGAATCGATGGGGGGATGATCCTAAAGACTCTCGATGATCTTAGGAGAGATCGTGGGGCGCCACGATATGCTACGATATGCTGATATGTCTGCTACGATATCGTCATCGTGATATGTCACACTGGCGCGCGTTAACAAGCGAGACATGAGATTCGTTGATTTTGTCTTTGATACATCCGTCGTGGCATCAATCGACGGTGCGCGATACAGTTTTCAGGGCTTTACAAAATCGATCGCCCTTGTAATATGCTGTGTGGGTGTGTGAATGTGTACGCTTGTTGTATCGCGTTGAGTTTAAGTATGTGTGCGTGTGTGTTTACGTCTCCCGATTCACTTCCTCTCGATCAAGTTTACACGCAGCTCTCCGGGCCCGGTATGGAATTGGCGATTATGATCTCCTTCATCAGGTTGCGATCGGCTTTGAAGCTGATGGGCTCCCAGGACTTTGCGGAGAACGGGTTCAGCTGCCAAGTCAAGAGGAGATATCGGGTCTGAATCTAATTAATACTCAACGTTGCGCGCGGAGAAACAGAATTGGGAATCGAAAATAGTAGCGGTCTTCCTCGGATATCCACACCGCGCGGAAGATCGATATTATTCATAACGGTTATATACCGGTCGCGCGCGACAGCTAAACTGAGATTGGTTAGATAGCCGGCTTAATTTATAAACGATCGATAGAAATTCAATCTACGGCAGATTAAATTTCTAATCTTCCAAATCGGAGTTCGGAATCTCGCGCGCTATTGAAACTTCCTATCTCTGTAAAGAATCGAAGGAGAGGAAAGAATCAAAGACACATCTCACGTTAATCCACCTATTGAGATAATTAGAAATCATTATACGGGACGATTCGTTGGGGATTAAGACACGTAACAACGTTCGTCGCAATTATCCATCAGAATGCAAGAATTAAAGTAAACCTTCTTCTCGGGATATGGCACGGCATAGAAGCGCAAATTGATATACTGGATTAATTTACCGAGTGCATCATTTACATTATTTCAACCGTTCCCTTTCTTCAAAAAGACTACTTTATAATTTCTGACATGACTTACGCTGCATCTGTTCGTCTGCAGTCCCTGCTTGTGAATGTCATACGGCGCGAACAATGTGTCTGGTCTCACTGGCAAAAACAGTTGCGGCTCGCGTTTGATCTTCTCTTGGTCTGAAACGTCCACATTATTCCACTTTACATTAACAGCTCTCGAACAATTTAAATAAAACGCTGAAGGCAAAGACCAGACAAATGTGACATTAAAAAAGAAGGATTTATGTTAAATGTACATTTAGTTTACAGGCAAGAGTGCTCTTTAAATTATAAATTTTATTTTTAATAAATACTTTCTGAAAAAAATATCATCTCTCGTTCCTGCTATTCAAATAAAAGTTTGATATTTGATAGGAATTGATTTGCCAGTTCAAAAACAGCACGTAACACGATCAACCTGCAGAAAATGACAGTCCGACAGAAATCAAAACGCTCCGTTCATTCGAGACTCTGTTTTTCCATAAATCTTTGTAACGATTCGTTCTTCGTGCGATTTTTTTCCTAATCTGGATTCAAATATTAGGTCAAATATTAGATAGCTCCAATATTAGATCGATCCCGTCGATCGAGCCAGATCAGATTACAAGTAGAAATAATGTCTTTTGTGCGACGGTACCTTGCGGCGACTGTATGATGTCTGGTTGATTATTGAGCGCATAATCGGTGACCTGCTTCAGCGTGTACTCGACGAAGTACGTGTGGTCGCCGTGGGTCACGTCCAGCATCGAATTGTTTCTCGAGTCCGGCGGTGTGATTATCGGCTGCTTCATATAGGGCTCGATGTGTACCGGTGACGTGGTGCCGCGCCGTCGATACATCATCAGCATCACGGAGATCATGGTCGCGCCGAAGGCCAGTAGGCAGCCGACCAGCAGTAAGATCAACGGCAGCATGCTGACTCCGGTATCTAGAACGCGAATGCATTTCGTCCTGCGATGGAAATCTGTGAGCGGTTATCTCATCACGCGTAATAAAAACATCATGCCCACAGTAATTATGTACATAAAATCAACTGTAATTAATCCCAACACGATAAAATTAATATTGTTAAAAGGTATATTTTATCATGCTGGAATTAGAAAAGCTATAATTAATTGTGTTAATTATTTGACGCGTGTGAAGGTGATCGCGTAAAACTTATTATCGTCTTGGTTGTGATTTAATTATTCCTTCTTTTTTAGAAAATTATATTACAGTACGTATAAGATATTTTAGTTGGAAATAAATTGATATTTTTCATTCCTAAAATGAAAATATATAGCAGTATAGTTTTGTTCACGGTGAATAATATATATTGCAAATTTCTAATAAAAGATGCAATAAACGTGATTTATTATAAATAGAAAGTATATTTATAGAAAGTATGATATATTCTTGACCTGGGAGGTATATTAAATTTAATTTGTCTATTTATAGATTTTTCCTGTAAGAGATAGGTAATAAACTATAAATTAAAAATAAGAGAAATATTATGAATTATATTTAGTTATCAGATTTATAATTTTCCGGAATTTGGAATAAATCTGAATTATTGTTTTATTTATTATTAGTTTTATTATATTACAGACTATTATTAGATTATTATCAGATACAATTTTTATTTATTCGTAATTCTGTCAAAATAATTAATTGATGCTAATATTATATTATACCAGAAATGAAAATCGAAATAATCTGTGAATTATTCGTTTCAATTTTAAGTATCATTTCAAATCAAATTATTTATCATGAATGTCTGTCAATTCTTTTTATGTAAGACAGTTTTTGGCAGGATATCATCAATTTTATCTCAGTTAATTCATTCTCGAGGGAAAACCTGAAATACAATATATATTCTAAATCTGAATCCCAAATCAAATCAGTTTTGAAAGGACAAACCTGGAATGCTGACCTATCAAAAAAAAACTCGTTTAATATAACATATCCATATAGAAATTCTTATAGCGTTCCATTTCTATTATTGTTGTTATAAAAAAACGGAGATAAAGTTTCTTTTTTATACAATATTTATTTTATACATGAATATATCCAGATAAAATATAAAAGTAAAGAGAGAAGCATTTACCACGTGATGAAATCTAATTTTGACACTTTTACGGAATAACGACCTTTTTATAATTTAATTACCTGTGTGCTTCTCCGAGTCGCGCAGCATTATATCCTCCAGCAGCGACACTTCGCTGCGGCCTTTGGCATTCACGGCGTAGGTCACCAGGTAGAAGTGAGTGGCCGGTAGAAGATCGGCCACGGCAATTCGAAAGATTGGCAGATCGGCCGATATGCTGGACGCGTTCACTCGGAGATTACCGGTCAGTACCTCGTAAGCCTCTAGTCGGAATTCCTGGTGGAGTCCGCCGTCGTATCCCGGCACGCATTCAACCTCCAGAATCTCCGAACTTTGATTGAGCGATGCTTTGATGGTGCAATTGTTGAGAGGATTCGGTTTCACTGCTCAGACACATTTCTCGCGTTGAGTTTCAAAGTTTTAATCAAAAGAGATACCTTTATTTACAAGGAAACTACATTGCAAATAACATAAAAACCAACGTTATCAACCACATGGTCACGTTTGAAATAAATATTCTAAGTGATCAAATCATTCTATGTATTCTGTATTCGATTTGGACCGGAACATATTTGGCCATTTTAACTTTTTTTTTAAATGTATGAAATAAAAGTTGCAGAGTTTAAAGAAGTTAAAACTGTAGGTTTAGAGACAGATTATTAGATGAGCTACTCAGATTTTGGGACTTATTGGCTCATTTGGGCTCATTAAAGCTCTGGACTTAAAAATGTAAGTATGATGGTTGGTCTTCAAATCCTACAACTTTTATTTGAAACATTCCTTTCAAAAATGCAATGTTCTCGAAATCTTTTGTGTCTAATAATAAGTTAAAATGATCAAACATGTTCCGGTCCAATTCGGATACAGAAGCCACAAAATCCCAAAATTTGATCTGGAATACCTATCTCAAACGTGATCTTTTGTAATATTAGTTTTTTGATGTTACTTTATAATATAGCACGTTCCTTTGTTAGAGATTTGACGAATTTATGTTTTGATACGACTACTAAGAAAGTTGGAAAAATACAAAGTTGCACATAGAACATGTCAGAAGAGAAAAATATAATTAAAGACGAATGTTTCTCATTTTTCTTCAACATCTGATTCTCTTTCTCTGATACAAAAGAGGGTTTAAGTAAACTATGATGGAACGTAACACAACTCGTCTCGCAAAAATAAACGATAAAACAAATATTTTCGAGTTTATGACGTACGGCGCGATAAGCCGGCAGCGAGTTGGACAGACTAGAAAAAAAGGAAAGCGTAAATAGCCGCGCTGAATTCTAAATACGAACATCTAAATATTATGTGTTTTCGACGCGAGATGCAGCAGTACATACGGTATTTAAATATTTTCAGAATACCGGACGCATTTGTTTGCCTCTGAAAGAGCAGAAGAAACAGAATTTCTTCCATATTATGATTCGCAATGGAAAAGGCAGAAGTGCAGTCGAATAAATTCTCGCCGATTTCTATCTTCCTCTTTACCACTTTTTCCTTTTTGTTCATTTCTTTTTTCATAACGATAATCGTCTATAGAACATCACCTGCCGGAATGACTTGATAGATGCAGGGCGCCTCCTGCTTCCCTATCGCGTTCCTACCCCAACAGGTCAGGGCACCGTAATCCCTCTCGGATTCGGGGGTGTAGACGAGCTCGCTCATGGTGCCGTTGTTGCCGTCAAACTTGGCCGGCGCAACTTCGAAGTTCTCACCACTATTGTTGAACTCCCAGACAAAGTCCACCTCGTTCGGGTCAGCGTCAACCTCGCAGCGCACCTTCACGGACTCCTCCAGGGAAGCCCCGATAATCGTCACCTCCTTCATCTTGCAAACTGGCGCGACTACGGAGAGTAACGTAGAAGAAAAAGAACGGAAAAACACAACACACATGCGTCTTCAGTTGAACAAGATAAAAACGTGATATTTCTCTTTATTTTTTTTTTTTTCCTTTCTCGTCTCCGTTATTGATCGGCGGAACTTCGACAGCGGGATTATGCCGAGTTTAAGAGCCGTTTTATTCGCCTTTAATCGGGAGAATTATATTGTTCGCCGTAGGGCTTAGACGGGACGGTTGAAAATAAATTGGCTTCTAAAATGTAATCCCTCATATCTGACGTCCGAGATATTTCGCTCCCGAACACAATTACGCGCGGTTGGCATATTGTGTAACGCGTATTTTGGAGTTTACTGGAGGAAGTAGAAACAACATAGTTAAATTTAACTTTTAGCTTTGAAAAGGTCGGAGGTTAATTCTCCCATACAATAATATCTTTTTAATAATTCAACATGTGAATAATTTATTCTTATGTAGCTTGTACTGTTATAATTTATAACATAAATAAATAAATATATATATATATTCATATTAATAATTATATTTACATAATTATTTATATCATAAACAACGAATGTGTAAAGATCTAAATTTATTTGCGAGAAATATATCAAGCGCCATAAATTATGATGCAAATATTTTCATTCAGGGTTGGAAAGTAACGTATTACTTATAACGCTGTTACCTCGTTTTCGTTACTTTTTTTTTATCTGTAACAGTAATGTCGTTATATTTTTACAGTAACAGTAATAAATTTAGCTGTACTTTTATCGTTACTTCAGACCTTTATTAACTTTATAACTATTCTATAGAATTTATTACTTTTAATTATCTAGAAATATTTTATAATAGAATTTAAATATTGAAATATGTTTTATACTTGATATTTTAGGCTACATTCCAATAGTCACTGCCAATACTGAAAATCTGTGGTATACATATATGAAACGTGATCTATAAATTTTCGGTATTGGCAGTGAATATCGGAATGCATTTTTAATAACGACTTTCAATGTTTAAAAACAATTTTTAATAAAAATTTATAATAAAATCTATGTTTGTATGTAAATTACAATCTATATATAATTTCCTAAAAATAAGCATATATTAAAATATTAATGTAAAGAATTATTGAAGATTTATTAGATATATAAATTTAATATAAAAAGAAAAGTTTACTATGTGACTACCTTAGAATTTTAATACATGACAAATCACATTTTGTTGTGTATTTACTTTACGGTCATAAGAAATTATTTATTTAATATTAGAATTTTAAGTTTTAATATTAATTTTCACAATTAATATCGATTGTTAAATAATGTAATTTTTAAATCTATATAATATCTTACTTTAACATTACAAAAGATGATGAAAAAAGTAACAAATCGTTACTTTCTAAGTATAAATAGTAATATAAAAAGTAACGATAACACGCTACTTTTAAAATTAGGATCGATTAACGATACCGAGATACTTTTTACAAAAAGTAACGATAATGGTAACACTTTTATGAAGTAACGTTGCCAATCCTGCTTTCATTCAAGAACGATTTGAAGATTTCAACTTGAAATACGATTCATCCTCGAATCGCCGGCGTATACTCACCGAGATTACACATTCGCTTTCTGAAATCCTTGTTATCGATTCGTATACTTGTCGTGTCTACTTACACTGCACTCTCAGGTTCACAATTGGACTCGTCGTCTCCCCACGGTCGTTGCTGGCCAGACACGTGTAATTTCCCGCGTTGTCGCGTCCTATGCCCTGCAGCACCAGGCTCTGGGTGCTCATGATGATACCGGCCGAATAATTTTGCGTCAGCACGCCGCCCTGTCATTGATGGATTAACGCGTTTAACACGGAGGTTGAGATTCTAGTGCGATAGCTTTTTCGCCATATTTCTTCGGTAATAAGAAACGCAGATGACAAATAGATTTCATGTAAAGCTTTTCGCGCAACCTCGTTTTCGCCGTTCGCGAAAAGATTCCGTTTTAATGGATCTTCTTATTCTCCGTTTGGTATGTATATTCGGAGCTTTCGTATATATACTTTTTCCGAATTTCCCGTTTTATAGAGACGAAGGCGACGTTGGAGGCAAAGGTGGAAATTTTTCAAGAAAATGCGAAATTTATTTCCGTTTATGAATAGTCGTGTCACGAATATCCGTGCGATAAACGCGAGGCGACAGATATTCGCCGCTCTCGCGGAGAAGTGAATGCATACACGCAGGGATGAAGAGACGAAAATTTCCGAGTCTACTTCCCTCATAAAGCAAAAGTTATTTTTTCTTTCGTCAAACTGGCATTTCCCCGGAAGTTTCAGATAACGTTTTAAAAGTTCCATCGTAAGGTTCCATCACAACTCGAATCGATCCTTATCGAAAAAAGGTCATTACCGATTCTCGCGAATAGAAATGTAAAGTTCGGGGAATCCCGGTATTTTTCAGACCCCCGTGTGTGCTTTTGCGCGCTTAATCTCGCCGGAACTTTTTTTCCCCCGGAACTCGGAAACTGTTTGGTGGAGAGGCGAAGCAATCGAAATTTTAAAAGTGAGGCACTCCAGTGCCTCGCGGAGGTAAACACGCCGGGATTAAAGTGGGTTCGTTGCTGACGGTGGGACTTACGTTGTGGCGCCAAGTAATTTTGTGGTGCTCCGGATTGGCGCGGACTTTGCATTCGAAGTATACATCGTCGCCTTCCTTTATGTTCTCCGCGTTTAGAGTACTACCCAGATGCAGCTGAACTTTAGGCGGGACTGCAGGAAAAGAGAGAATTTTTCGGTTTTTCAATGTTTTACATGCGTGACCACGATGAAATATTTCGGCGGATTCAGGGAAAATGGACATGGAATATTGAAGCCGTCGGAATACGTGAAAGGGAGAGAGACGATATTAATAAGACATGTGACTCTTCGTGTACAATGGATTTAACAGATTTAACAGATTTCCATTTTCATACATTTAGGTCATGACAAATACGGTGAAACTTGTTGAGTTCTCCATTTACATATTCGTATGGGTAGATTTTAAATCTTCAAAATCTGAATTATTGGCTGTTAATTAATGTGCAAATATCACTTCAGTCAATAAATGTTAATTCATTGAGATATCTTCACATTCTGTGGCTTAAATAATTCCAATCTATTGGATCCAATACAATATACGCGGGATGCATTTATCACAGATAAACAATTCATACACCGCAAAACTAGAAAAAAATTGCTCTATTAAAAAAATGATTATAAAATAAAATGTATATATATATAATTGATCGAGATATTTTTATGGGGCATCCTGTGGTTTAACTTCAATTTATCACGAGAAGCACTCTTTACAGATAAACAATTCATGTTACCGCAGTATTATATAGAGAAAAACTGCTTAAAAGAGATAATTATAAACCATAAAAATAAACAAAATTATAAAACATTAATGTCCATTTCCACTAATATAGATTAACTTTAATCTCGGTTCAATTTGCTCTTCGTCTTTTTCTAATTCTAAAAATTAAAAAAAGATGAACGGTAAGTTAAACCGAGATTAAAGTTAATCTACATTGATGGAAACGGGCATTAGTATCAAAATATAACGTATATGTATATATTTATAATTATACAAAATTTTTTTTACGAATATAAAGCTGTCACTCGATAAATTGTTTCCACGATAATCGAAATCTGATTTGTCACGTGGTTAAAAGTGGCGCCGAAGAAACGGCGCCCGCCACTTACAGACGACATTCAACTTGAAGAAGTCCTCCAAGTACGCGTCCGCCAGGGCTGGGTTCTCGCCGCGGCACTTGAGGATCTTGCCGTGATCGTCAGGGATGGGTGAGAACATCAGAGTGCTCAGCACTGCCGACGCGTTGCTACTTTCTTTTACCTGCTGGCACATATATTCGAAAATTGCAGAAAATCGGCGATAATTCAGCTGGAGGGGAGCATGTCAAAAAATGTCGACGTGCGCGACGTCAAAATACTTCGTTATCGACCTTGCTGTTCCGGAACGTTTCGTTTCCTTCGATCCAGGTGATGCGAGCGCGGGGATGCGAGCCTGTCGTCTCGCAGGTGATGGAGTAGTCCTTCTCCGTCTCCATGACCGTTAACTTCGACAGTATCTTCACGGTGAGTGGTTTTACTAGAACCAGCGAATCACGTTTATTGCGCTCTATCGCGGGTAATACTATCGTTTTTTTTACATCTCTCGTTAAAAGTTTGAAGTTCGATTCTTGATGTTAAGAAATCACTAATAAGGATTCGTAATTATTAATATTTAGGATGCAAATTCTCTCCTGATGTCCTGTTCTTATAGTCTTCTTTGACGGTTGTCGCTTTTTAAATTCATCGTATGTCTCGCATTAAGCCTACAGCACACGATGTCTTTCTTCTGCTGGATTGCTTGGATATCGAAAGAATGATTTTGCTAAAATATTTTAAAATGTAGGTAGATACATACCGTTAAATCTGTATAGTGCCCTAATTTTACCTAATATGAGTCGCCACTATGCTCTTACTCAATATATCGTCATTTTATAAACTAAACGACTAACCAATGGTTGTATTTGACACATGCAGTATCAAATTGACACACTATAGTGTCAAATTTAATTATCGTTTTAACGTAAAATAACGATATATTTAGTAGGATCGACTCACATTAGGTTAAATTTGATACTGTAGATTTAACAGTGTAGGTCAGAAAATAATTTTGGATCATTAAAATAATTATGTAGAAATCTCACGTATGAGGAGCATGCTGCAAAAAATTTTGACGTTTTAGCAACCAGTTTGAACGTCCTACATAATATTTTGGTAATTTAACAGAATTATTTTCAGCTCTGTATCTAGCTGAATTTTTAGTTACCTCAGCAAAACCGTTTTTTCCCTTGCAAGCACTGTTACATTTATAATATTAAATTATACTCAATTTGAATTATTTTTAATCACTTCTATAGGTCGCTATTGCTCTTACTCAATATGTCGTTAATTTAACTAAAACAGTGGAATTAAACAATTTAACTCAATAAAGTGTATTAAATTCAACTGAAATATAATTCATTATTTACTACGTGCATACGTTAATATGGATGTTGTTTACTTTGAAACTAATCATAGAAATGTATTGCTTTACATTTTGATACATATGGAAATTAAAAATAACAAAATGTCATTTAATTTAAGGAACTGGGTTACCACTGCTCCTTTGATATATCTAACAGTGTGATAGCGATCATGCTGGCTGCTATGGAAATGGTGTAGTCTGCTGACTACGCTGTTGGCTAGTTTGCAGAATTTTCGTGATAGATCAGATGGTATCTTCCTCGCATGATCTTGTTCTTGTTCATTATGAGAGCCAATCAAAAGGCACAGATTTAGATCATGTGATCAAAGTATTTTCTTCGTAACAATAAATTAAAAACAATGTAACTGTACTTTTATGATGTAAGTATTACAGTAGCAACGATCTGCTTCATGTTTACTTATTCGGATACTTTTATACAAATACTTTTTGTAAAATTCCAACTATTCAGCCAACAGAAACTTCGTACCGAGGCTAGCAACACAGTCAGCAGCACTACCAACACCGCTGCCAAGACCGCAGTAAGCACGCAAATTTAGCCAGCAATTCAGCAGGAAGAAAAAGCTTTGTGTGCCGCAGGCAATGCCTTTACTAGGTTGTAAAAAATTCTGAATTACTTTTCGGTTTTTATGTACAAATTTATTCAGAGAAACAACAACAATTATTCCCCAAAATAAAAACCATCATATTCAATAATCACCAATTTATTGTTAGCTGTTGGATTGATTCTAGACGGCATTCGAGATTCTACGGCACCTGGTATATAATCCTAATCTTACACCATTTGACTATGGCTTGTTTCGCTCAATGAAACATTTCTTGTGAGGATGACGATTCGAAACTGTTGAACAAGTTGAGTCAGCTTGTCGTGACGCAGCTTCTTCGCGTCTAAAGAGCCAGAATGATACCGAAACCAAATTCGGCTGAAGGCGAATAGTTATTGAACACGATGGTCTTTATTTTAAAAAATAATCGTGATTGTTTCGCTAATTTGTATAATGTAAAAACTGTTTTCGTGTTTTAAAAGGATATTCAGAACCTTTTTAACAATCTAATAAATCGCAGGCGATGATTTTTAATTAAAATAAATACATATGTGCTTATAATATTAATCTGATCGATATCGGTTTCAGAAGCTTACAAACATCGCTTTTGATAAAAATAGTCAGTTTAAAGGGTTTACAAATATGAACGGATTATTCCGCTCGTTCGAGATTTGTTCACGTTGAATAATTAAAGAAAGCTAAATTTATTTTCGCGGTGTGTGAGTCATGGTGGTTATCCGTGCGCCAGGGTCAGCGCGCTCCTACTTTCAACAAACCTGCCAATAATTTATCGAGCCGATAACAGAAATGAGAAAGGATTACTTTCCGCGGTTGAAATTTAACTAATGTGAATTATTAACATGTTGAATGCCGCAGGGAATTTTGATTAACTTTGCAAAAGCGTAATTAGAGATTGTGCAATCTATATACATTGCGGTAAATAAATGCCATATTTTTGTCAAATGCGCTCGTTACCCCGTCTAATTGAGAGATCCCCGACGACACGTGCAACTTTCTAAATGCGGCCGACTGCACTTTGCGCGCGTCAAAACGGGGCGACACCAACACGTTAACCTTTGGATGACACTCAGCCTTTTGTAACTTTTCGCCGTTTGGTAGCTTTAAAACTCATTTGCTTTTATACGAAAAAATTATCGCATGTGAAATTTAAATGAAGAGCAGTGCCAGTATATGTGTACATCAATTTTCCGTGAAAACAAAAATGTATGTAAATTCCTACAAATATTTACGCTATATACACGCACTTGTCGGACGGGGAAAATTGATTGTATCATGCTGACGAAAGAAGGAAGAAAAGTTCCTTTACACGGACATTTTCTTCTAGTAGTAGGTGAAAAGATACTCACGATAAACGTCGAGGATCACCGTCTTCTCCAGCGGCGGTATGAGATGCGTGTTGGCCGCCTGGCATTTGTACGTGGTGTTGCGGTGTTCTCGCCGCAGCTGTGGCACCGTCAATTTGCTGACGACGATGTTCTGGCCGAACTCCTCGAGTCTGCCGTCCACCTCCTTACCGTTCACCAGCCAGCTCACCACCGGCGTGGGTTTTCCTTCGTGTGGGATAACGCGCGCGAAAGCACGGAAAGCACGGAAATTATACGCGGCTAATTAACTCTCCCTACCCCTCGTCTCGTCGTCGATCAGTCTCGCGTGACAGCAGACAAATCACCGGGGCCATAATTACCCTTAATACCGGGTGTCTCCGATCGGGCGCGCCCGCGTAATACCCGGCCACTTAGAGGTCGAGCTCGTATTTAATTGCTAACCCGTGCGGTAGTATCTCCTCTCTTTTTATTTATTCACGCGATCTTGAGAGAGAGAGGGGTCATGTCGGGATTTATATGCGCGTAAAGCGAGGGGGGTCGGTCGGGTAATTTGTCGCTCTCTCGCCGAGATTCGTATCTCGACTAAACATATTAATGAGAAACCTGATTTCTCTCAGGAAGGAATTAACGGATAAAATTTTACAAACTCGAGAACGCGTAATTATACGTATACACACGCACATGCATAACAGTAAATTCATCGCAGCTTTTAAACTATGCGACGAGAAATTTACTTTACCTCGAAATACTGTATTTCATATCTCCCGTCTCTGTCATTTAATTATGTTAATTGTGTGAGGAGAGATTATAAAGAAATTTCGATGCATGCGGACTGCGTGCCCTAAATTATAATTAAATGCACGATAACGCGTTGATTTACGATTTTCATAGCAGAATGTCAAATATGCACGAGTGGAAACCGAGAACGTAATGTAAATAACCGCGAGTGGAAGTTCAAGACACAGATAGAATCGCTGACTCTTGTGTTTGCACGAAATTTACCTAAGGACAAATCACAAAGAGACGAATCGGAATACGGTATGCTCACCTCCTCTCACTTCGCAGGACAGACCGAACTCCACACCGACCTGAAACGGTCCGGCGACGCTCTCCACCTGCACCCCGGAGCTGTCGTAAATGAGTAGCTGGTGCGGCGGCACTGCGAACAATTTCCACGAACCGGGTGGTTTGCTTTCCATAATTGACGGATAATGGCCCGCGGACGGTCTATTCCGACTTTTTAAGGGGAGCTAGAGCTCGCGAAAGTTAATTTTAAACTTGCAAAAATGAAATTTCGATTAATTCGTCTTCTCCCTTCCTGCTTGCCCCCCGAAGTTCGAAGAAAAGTGGGTTAGACCGCCGTCCGCAACGCGGGCCCTTCAATTAGCGAAACCGCGCGAGACGGAGATTGTTCCGGCAAGTTTAACTTCGCGTCGAGATGAAAAAAGATCTTGCATATCGGTCGACGTTAACTGCAGCTAATTCTCGCTCTCCTTCTTCTTCTGTTAGTACCCTTCCCTCAGCACGATCTTTGTTTTACGCGTTATACCGAGACGCAGTTAATCATACCGGAGCAGTGTTACGCGGTCGTTACGGTAATGAGTTTCCTCACCGATCACTGTGAGATTCACTTGGAAGTTCTTGGTCGGCGAGTTCTTGAAGTCTACTCGGCATCTGTAGATCCCCTCGTCATCCAGCTGGACCGCCTCCAAGGAGAGCGCGGCGGGCTTCGTCACGGTGATGAAGTAGGCCCTGGGCCCTACGGCGGTGCTGTCCGACCAGTTCAGGGCCTTGTTAAAAGCCCGTCCTCGCACATCGAAACTGTGTGCATATTTCATTTGTAAATAATTTGCGAGTACCTCCGAATTCCATTTCTTCTTTTTAAGGAGGTTTGATTAACATACAATATATAGCACATATATTAAATATGAAAGTTGCGTTTATAATATTATAACATTTTTAATTCAGGGTTGATAAAAATTATGTTTTAAACATGTTATAAATTGTTAAAACATGTTAAACATGTTAAAACATGTTAAAACATACTTAATCGATCGTGTTTAACATGTTTTAAACAAGTTTTTTTATAATACTGTTTATAATATTAAAGCATGTATGAGGCATTAAAAACATGTTTGAAAAAACATACAATGTTTTATTATAAAAAAGAAAAAACATTATCTCTCATCAACCCTGATTTTTACTGAACGACATGCTTTTATGGTATATTTATTTTATTTGTTGTAATTTTTGTTATTATAAACTCTAAAATTTTATAAGTAATAATAAATAAAAATTTAAATTGACGTATGCAACGAATTTCATTGCGATTCTCCGATTACGGAGATTTTAAGCAAGTAAATATTTTGTTTATTCATTGGACAACTAATCTCTGTATTGTAACGTAACTTGACGTAATCATTTTAAATATTTAAAGTACTTATTATACATAAAAAAATTATGATTTTGTCACTTTCTTGTAATACATTTCCGTACATTTCTCTTAAAGCACAGACTTAAAAATATACCATTTTTTATTCAAAATAACTTTTGATCCAAATGGTAAATAAAAGATTGTTATATTACTTTTAAATAAGATTCAGAATGATCTGTAATTTCGTCAGAATTTTTTTATTATTTTAAAATATCTATCGTATCTCTTTAACGAGTTTTCCGATGACATTTTTTCTTTGACTTTTTTTGTGACAACGCTTGCTTACCTGTAAATGGGTTTCACCGCATAATCGCGGAACCAAAGGACCATGTAAACGCGATCCTCTCGAGTGGACGGCTCAATGTCGCAAGGCAAAGTGGCGGTACGCCCAAGTACGGCGCTGACCTTAGATGTAGACACTGGAGAAGTCGAAGAAAGGTGATTAACGGGTTGGTTATAGAAATTCGGCAACACAGCAATACATAGCGTGTTTAGTTTATGCATAACTCGTCTAATTGAAATTTAACTAGATGAAGCCGCGAGCTGTCCATCAAACGCAACGTTTATTTGACCGCATGCTTATTACCAGATTTATTTATCTGACGATTCGGACATATTGGACATGTAACGTTCAGAGATTAATTTTTTTTTATCAAAACCAAATATCAATTGCGTAGCATATTGAATGATCGATATAATGATTGGTAAAAATAGCCATATCATTTGCGAAAAGATATATTGTATAGTAATTATAGAATAAATAACTTTTTTCTGTACGCTGTAAATAATTTGTTTTTAATCTCTGTCGTTGCTTTAAATAGTTAAAATGAAGGCTCGAGGAATCATGAAATATTTTCAACGTCTTTGATTTTTAAATGATTTCTTTGAAACTTTACTGTAAACAATGCGACTTTTCATTCTTGGTTAAATCTCATTAACTTTAACGCTTTGAATAATTTTACTTACAATACTGCCTCTGTTTTCTTAGAAGCAGGCATTACGGGTCGCTTAATAATTGAGTTAATAATTCTGACGAATGTACAGAGCTATAATATAATATTATACAATTTTGAATCTTAATGTAAATTCGAAGGCATTATGTTTAACAATTCATGACGTTTTGTAAATTGCTAATTATATGGTTAATAAGTTAAATGAGCTGTAACGCCAGCTTTTATGTCACGAAAGAACGTGGAAAGTTATTAAGTTAGCAGGAAGTATTATAAGTAAACTTACAAGCCATTCAAGTAAACGAGATTTAGCAGCGAAAAACTTGAGATTAAATTTTTTCCTCTTATTGTTTAGCGTGATTTTAAATTACCTTGAAGTAGCGCAGCTGTGAAGATCTCTGAACTCTAAGCGAGTAATATCGTTACGTTTCACGAAATAAAGTCGTATCAAGAATGTGTAGATATCTTAAGAGACATTTCCCTCCAATTTAACATTCCATTCTGACGCGAGAAAGAGTCCCGCCTCGCGATATATAAAAAGGAAGCTGCTTTACTTCTTACGAATAAAGAGACGAGAAAGCAGCTTGAAAAATATCACTAATGAAGTTCGTTTTCGCGCATAATGGAGAGTTTCCACCCCGGTAGCGAGAAATATAATTACGCCGCGTAACATTTCTTTGAGCAAGTTTCACGCTCTGAGTGATTTCCGGTATCGCAACAAGCTTGCGTCTGATTCCCTCGTTTTCCGATACGCCGCAATTTTCATCAATCGAACGACGTCTGTAACACGAATACGAACTCTTCCGGCAGGATATCGCTTTTACGTTTGTTTGTGACGCTCCGATGAAAAATGTACATGCCACGAGCCATTTATCTTTTTTAGCATCGTATCAGCGCGATTATTATCTGTTCCATCTATTTAAACGCATGTCATTTTCTATGCTGAAGGCATTTCAAAGATATAAATGTAAACTGACATTAAGGTACAAATGTAACTGGAAAATATCTATGTAAATGGAAGTTTAAGATCGAATAACCGTTCGCGTATTTACAGGGGGAAGGAAAAATTAAAAATATCTACTAGCAAATTTTCAAACAGCTGTAAGCAGGACGAATTATAAATTCAAAACTTGTAAAAGCTCCGCACTTTTGATCAAGGCATTAACCGTTATGCATTAACGGGAACTTATTTATTATTTCATCACGTTTTAAGGGACTATATTCAGCCTTTTGCTTTTGCGTTTTGACCTAGTTTTATTTTAAAAAATACCATAACTTTGTAAATATCGATTCTAACAGTTTTCAATTTCATGACTTTGTCAGTTTTCCACTTTTCAATATGCATTTATGAAATACGTATTGGGTTCCATTTTGCGCACAAAAGCCATATAGAGTTCCATTCTGCGCCGGACATGCTGAGTGTGCACGGCAAACGAAGCTACTAGCAGAATTAAGGGACCCATTGTGGTTCTGATCAAGGAAAATTTTTCCTTCTTTGTTAATCTTCAGCAATACATTGCACAACGAAATAATATAATCTACGAAAAAGCAGCGAATTGCTAAGCGTAGCTTCACTTAACCATTTCCTTCCTCAAGTATTTTCACGGAAAACCGACCGCAACGTCCTTTCTGATTTTTTTTTTTTATTATTCAATTTTCTCCTCTTCCTTCTCTTTTTTAATAACGATCAAAATAAAATACATTTTTTTTTGTAAAAACACATATCTACGCACTCATGTACATTCTTTTTGTAAACTACTCTTTTTTAAATCACATTTTCACATTCCATTAGAAAAAGAGAAAAAAGTAACAAACGACCGTTCTGTGGTCCAAAATCACGAGATAAATTTTCGACCACATATTCCTCCGTTAACTTGAATATCGATATTTTCCGGAATGAGAATATTGAAGTACCGATAGTTTTCTAGTAATTAGCGGTTAAAGAACTCTCCTTTCATTCTAAACTAAATTAAACATCTATCTACACTCTTTCAAAAATGAAATTTTATTAAATTAAGTCTGCTCTCAAGTAATTGATAAATTTTACTTAATTATACAATATTAAGTAAATAAGGTTTATTAGTTACAAGAAGTAATTTATTTTGATGAGTTTTTGAAGTTCGAGTACAAGGAAATTAAAGTAAGACTAAAAATTAAAGTTACTTATGGAAAATATGGTGTTAAATTTATTTTAACATCATAAAACATAGTGTTAAATTAATTTATTTATCAATAAATAATATTTAAACTTGTGCAAATTGCGATCTCTCCTGTCTATCTTTATTAAGGAAAAATTGAGAAAATTGGTCTCTGAGTCAAGATAACCGGTAATTTTGGGACACGCTCGTGAAGCGGGTATCGCTCGCGCGGGTCAGGGAAGTGGTTAATCTTGGCTGTTCGTGCGACCGTTTCGTGCTTGTGCAGCGCGTACCTAGGTCATCGTCCTTATCCCAGTTGCCGCTGGCGTTCACGTAGACGACCACGGCGAATATGTAGCTGCTAATCACGAGTCGCACCGCTATCTCGGCCAGCGTCCCGAGTGCCATCCCACGAAGGGGGTGCGACGCCTTCGCCGGGCACTTGGGCGGCACGCTCAAATCCGTCGTCCCCGGCATAATACCACCCCGCGGGTACGCCGTCCCCTTATTGTCATTCCACACTGCGAAGGATCCGTCCCCGCTCCGTCCGGCTTCTTGTCCCGGCCGCGTGTGCAGGACGACGAACACGCAGGACACCTCACTCACCGACTCGAGCGTGGATTCTTCAAGCCCGAACGCCTACCGTCGAGGCGCATTGAAGTGCCTGGATGACAAAATGCGCTTTCTTCACTGCGTCTTTTAGTCCGTGACTCGTTGCACTGTATCACTGCCGAGAATCAGTGTAAAGGATTGCTTTTCGTGCCTTTCGTTATTATTTTAAAATGTCAAACGTTTTGCTCTGATCTTACAATTGTTATACAATGTTAATTTACATTAAATTTTGCACACTAATAAATAATAAGAAAGAAATATTTTTTAATAATGAAATTTCTTTGGTTAGCAAGATTCGGCGTTAAATTTTTATCAATGAATAATATTTAAACTTATATACAAATTTTTTTAAAAATTTGCGTGCAATTATTAAGATTGATAAAATTAATGACAACGAATGTTAAAAATAATGTGTTAACGGACAAATAAAAAACGTTGTATATGAATAAACCTTTTGTATCAACTTAACGTTTCAACAAAACGCTCTCACATCTATTACTATCACTATTTTTATTTCCTGCAGATCGATCCGATTGCTAAAATATATCGTCGATTTTTTTATTACGTTGCGATATCGAGTTCAACAGTGGCTACTCGGCTGTTTCACGTGGTTGCTTTCGATTACCCTCGTTTAACTTTATTGTCCCTCGGACCTAAAGGTGTTCAATTGTTCTCATTGCAGCTGCTACATTACCATTATTTTTCTCACGTGCCCATCAAACTCTTGTTAAACTATAAGTTCTCGATGATAGCAGTTCCGTCACTCAGTCCTTCTTACTTTATCGCCTTTTCCTGGCCGTACAAATTCTCCCGTTGTTGTCACTGTGATTTGTTAACGTTCGGTTATCGTTGTCGATTACATCCCGGCATTCGTCACTCGTCCAGGAAGATGCATGGAGGTCCAGATTACTCACCGTTCAAATTGACGCCTGTCGGTGGCTCAAATAAAGATGGACATTCGAAAACATCCGGCTGGCATCGGAATTTCCGTCGATATTTCTCGTCGACGTTTTATGATCGATTATTATGAATTATTTTCGATACTGTTAATGCATCGCGTGTGTTTTATTATTGTCATTTCGTGAGTAGAGATGCACTTGGTCGAATATTTTTCCGATCGTGTAACACAATTCTATAGAAATGCGCAGTAATGCGAGAGATCTCTTTAAACAAATGAGTTCTTTTCAGTAGTGCAATTTGAGCTTAAGTCGGCCAGATCGCCTGATCAAGCGCCAACCCTCTTCCACTGGCTGCACACGATTCTAATTTCGATCCACTCTACTTATCCCGTCTCCTCCCGAATTCATTCGCGTTATTGTCGCGCACCTTGCCCCCCGCACAACCCTGTGTCTGCAAAGTTCTTCGACGGCCGGATGCAACGAAAGCATTAGTCGAGCAACTTTAAGTTGGGGGACAATCGTTAATCACTCGATTAATCGTTGCACTCGTTACACTTCGACACGTTCTTATAGTTCTAAAACGTTCCGGATCCGCAGGTCGACACCGGATATATCTTCCTATTATCAAGGAGATATTATGTTATTAATTCATTTTAACAAGAGAGCATTATGCATTAATTCATTTGTCGAACAATCTTGTCAACTTTAATGAAGAGGCGTGACATCTCAATGTACGCGGTGCTATTCGAGGCATCGCTTAAGTTCGAGTCGGTAGATTTATGTCTAAGTTACTCGGTTAGAGTTATATTTAGTCAGTTCTATTAACAGCCGGAACTTCTTAGCTCTTGCAAAACAATCCGCCGCCTCGAGAGGACTAATTCCCTCTTTCTCTCACTTACTCATTTCCCTCCCCTCTCTTTCTCTCTCTCTCTCTCTCTCTCTCTCTCTCTCTCTCTCTCTCTCTTCCCTCTGTTCCGTCGATTAATCAAAGGGGAGTCTTATTGTCATTCCGTCCGAGATCAGACAGCCACTTCCTCCACTTCCACCCCACCGGCTCGAGAAGCAAAGGGGCGAAAGGCAGGCAAGGGAGCAGGACGGGCCCGGCGGGGGATGCTCCGCGGTCTGATCGTCTCGCGAGCGTTCGAGAGGAGTGATTTCACCGCGACGGTATTCTCCAACGATTTTCCACCCCTAAAGGCCTCCCATCCCTTCTCTTTCTCTTTCTCCTTCCCTCTCTTCCTTTCTCTCTCTTTCTCTATCTCTCTCTCTCTCTCTCTCTCTCTCTCTTACCTCGTATGTAGACGGCCTCCTCCCACCGCCAACCCCGCGGCGATGTCCTCCGGCGAGGATCCTCTCGAGAGGGGGAGGGGGTGCAGCGGGGAGAGGACGACACGCTCTCTCCGAATAGTTGGAGGATCTCGAGGACTCCTTCGGCAGCTTTCCTTAATGTTTCTTAATTACCCGCGTTCATTAATCACCGGGTCTTTTGATGTCTGTTGAATGCTTTCTTTCGTAACGTGATTCGCGAGAGCCAAGCTCACCTAAAGCACCCGGAGACACGCTAAAGCACTCGAGCGGAAGGCTCGAGACTCGCACCTGAAATGGCGTAACGCGCGTCCTGACGAAGCACCGCCTTTCTCCAAGGAGATTATCGTCCTTCTGGAGCTAGCCTCCTTCAGAGTTTAGGGCCGCCGTTAGGCGATTCGACAATGGCGATGACAGATCGGTCGACCCCCTGCACGAGGCGTGCACTTCGACACACGGACGATACTTCCGTTGTTATTCTACTGGTCCTCAATTTCCGCCGTGATCGATCATCTCCCGTATTATTTTGTGGATTTCCTTTTTCCGCGAAGAAAAAGACGGTCAAAAATATAAGAAGTATACGATGCTACGTTCCGTGAAAAAACGACGATATAAAACACATGTAAAAAACGGCAAAATCCTCGAAACCGACCGACTAGTTCGTGAAATTCGCTCTCGAATTAATCAACTTTATTTTTCAACAGTGGCGAACGTTCCGTTTTTCATTGACGCGAATTGTTCTACTTCTTGACAGCGGAAAAATTTTCCCGCAGTAGTTACGGATAGTCATACACAGCCGTTATACATGATCGTTCTCGCTTCTGTATTTTTTCTCTCGCTGACTTTCTCTTAAAGATTCAAAGGATAATTTAGGATCAATTTAATTCACCTTTCAGCTTTTTTGTTTGTTACATTTTAACAGTCGTAATTGGTATAGTAATAATTTTTTCTTAAGTAAACATGAAGAATCACGCACAACCGATCGTTTGCAAGTTTCCTCAATAAAATTCCAATTCAAATTTTCGTGTTTCTGGCGGGATTAATCCTTACTTTTTAAATTAGTCAATGGAAATACCGATCACACGAGCACCTTGGATGAACCGTTCTTCTCGCTTTACCAACCGGCTACCGACGGCACGACGTTGAATCTCAACATCCCCATCAGCAGTTGTAGTTTCTCACGCTTTCCTCGAGGAGATCTCGCACTCACTCGCAGCAACGGGAAAATCTCGCTCATCCGATCTCGATAACTATTGCGGTCCGATCGCGGACTGACGGCGACGGCGACGGCGACGACGGTGGTGGCGGTGGCAACGGCAGCAGAGAGAAGCGGGTCGACGACACCGGCTAAATTTCCCACGAAATTTCTCGCCTTCAGTGCGAGGCGCGGCGGCTTCAGCCGGTGTTGCAAGCAAGAACCGTGTTTCTCGCTCCCACGATCTCCTTCGCACCCTCGTTCCCGACAGCGGAAGTCTAGTCTCCTCCGCGACGCGTGCTGTCGCGTGCGACGCGCTGCACGCTTCCTCGTCGCGCGGGCACGCCGCTATAACCACCGCGAGAGAGGACGACGCGCGCGAGACGGGGCGCCGATCGATTTTCGCGAGTCAGTCCGATCCGGCCGCCTCGCGTTTCGACGCGTTTCGATGCCCGCGCGATGTACAACCCCCTACGCCGACGGTGGCGGTGGAGCCGGTGGTGCAGGCGGTGGTGGAGGAAGCGGTGGAGAACGTGCCGAGCGCGCTGCCGCGCAGGGCTGTCCGCGCGTGGGGCGCGCCATGGGGTGTCCCAGAATTGACTGAGAACCTATACAGAATTGCCGTAAAGTTCTCATTTTTTTTATTTCAAAGCTTTTCTACCATTTACAGATAAAATTTCATGATTTTCTCTGACTTTCAACAATATTTTGAAATTTTTTATATTTTCATTCTGAATAATCAATCATATAACTTTAATTCTAGAATGAAAACGTAAAAGGTGAATATTTTTATGTGTACCATATGTATGTACATTTACACGTGCACGCACACACACATGCGTACAAAGTTTTTACTTTTCATGTTTCTGCCCTAGGAAACAAGTTACATTATTAACCTTCTGATTTGGAAACCGTTAAACATTTTATTGGGAAAGTAGTTTAACGTAGCAATGTATAAATTACTGTTGATATATTGACACACTGCTTGTATTTAATTATTAAGAGTTAGTAGTATTCCAAAATTGTGTAGGTTTAATGTAATAAGAATATGAAACTCTTTTAAAGTCAAGAATTTTAATTTATCAGAAAATTTTGTTGACTTTTTCCTCGATTTTTCTGATTATTTTCCATTTCCCTGGCGACCCTGGCATCTCTCTGATTTCCCTAATTTTTAGTTTGTTATGGTCTTGATAGTATAGGATCGGTATAATTACACTTATAAGGTTCAATGCGAGCTTTCTCTTGACGTAAATATCGAGAGGCATCAACATGTAGATCTTTCTCATTTTAATGTTCAACGTTTGATTAGCTACGACATCGAAAACATAATGTTAAGCTAAAAATGCTATGACCATTAAACGTGAAAATTGATGACTGTTTTTCTATTTTGAGCTTGTGAAGCGGTTGAAGCTGTAGTCTAATTGCATTAAAAAGAAACGTGACACAATTAAGAATACATTGAATATATGCCGTGCAAAATTTGGAAACGCGATGGGATCTTATGTTCTGATTTGTGATAGCAATTAGTCGCCTGACCGGCTTAAGAACTTTTCTCTCTGAATTCTCAGAACTTTCTGCGTTGAGAGGAATCCAGAAACTTTTCTTCGAATGTGTGTTTTATGACATTGCTTCACTATGTAATGTATTATTAATATAATAATGTATTACTTTAATATATAAATTATGAGAAAATGTGATATCCCACACTGCAGCATGAAATATTTCAGAAATATTTGCAAAATATTTTATTGCACAGTTTGAAATATTTCAAAAATTTTTCATGAAATCTTTGTAAAATGTAAATACATATATCCAGGAAAGAGTTTTTGAAATATTCTTT